TTTTTTTAGTTATAGATGGACACAATATCTTTATTTATTTATTTATTTATGTGGTGCTGAGGATTGAACCCAGTGCCTCACACGTGTGAGGCAGGTACTCTACACTGAGCCCCAGCCCCAGCTCCAGCCCATATCTTTAAGAGATTGTGGACCATTGTGTTAGCCTCTTTGCTAAAGCCTTTTATCATATGGGTCCAAGTATATTATAAAAGAAGAAAACATGCCTGGAATAGAACAGTTGGGAAGCCCCAGGAAGCAACACTGTTTCTATAGACTATCCTTGATCTGAAATCAGTCAGGGTTCTCTGTTATATTGGTTTACATTAAAGTGAATGCCTAAAAACCAGTACTTTGTAAGATTTCGGGTTTCCATGTTTTACACAATTTTCTGTGGGGTGGCAGGAGAAGGGAGGGCATCAGAAAACAATTGGTTAGGAGGCAGAAGCTAGAATGAGGATATCTGATAACTGAAGTTGAAGACCAGAGCTTCAAGCTTCCATAGGTTTGGGTTGGACCACTACTCAAGTCTTTCTAGCTCTGCAAGTCTGGGAAGAAAATAATTAGCGCCCCAGTGGTCATCGGAGCCCTCTATCCCTGTCTTTTAGTAATCATCAGATTATTAAGATCCACAAGGGCAGAGAATATGTTCTGCTTATATTTATGTTCCTAATATCTATTCTGCACTCTCAACCCTGTGTCAGAATAATTAGGAAAGGCTATCTAAGAGTGAGGGAGTCTAATCTTAGGGTTCATTCTGGTGTTGTTTGAGGAGCTATAATCTGAGAAGTACCATTCAGTTTTAAAATATTTTATTAAAAATCATACAGAATTATATATTACAATCTTATAAATATGTATTTACAATAAGATATTATACGAAAACATAAATACTAGTTTAACAAACCCCAATATGTCTGTTAATCCCATCCCTTTTTTAAAAAATGTATTTTTAGTTATAGGTAGATACAATACCTTTATTTTACTTTTATGTGGTGCTGAGGATCAAACCCAGTGCCTCACACATACTAAGTGAGCACTTTACCTCTGAGCCACAATCCCAGTTCCCAATCCATCCCTTCTTAAAAGATATTTTCTGTTTTCTGTTGCCACTGATTACATAGGCTTCCTCTGTCTTCCCTCTCCTTCAGATGAATGGCTAACAGAATGTATTGGGGGGGGGGGCGGCGCACTGATCCACATCCCCAACTCTTTTTTAATGTTTTATTTTGAGACACGTTATTGCTAAGTTGCTGAGGCTGACCTTGAACTTTTGATACTCCTGCCTCAGACTTCTGATCTGCTGGGATTACAGGTGTGTGCCACTATGCCCAGCCAGAATGTATCATTCTTGAATCTTCTATATTAAGTACATAAACCTGTAGCAAAAGTATGAGGAGAAATTTAAACTTTTTGAATCATTTATTCAGATAGCTATTTTTTAGCATCTCTATTTTATTATAAAATTAATCTAGTTTTAGTTGAATACAGTACCTTTATTTTATTTTATTTATTTTTTAGTTGTAGTTGTCAATACCTTTATGTTTTTATGTGGTGCTGAGAATGGAACCCAGGGCCACTGAGCAACAATCCCAGCCCCACAATACCTTTATTTTATTTATTTATTTATTTTTATGTGGTGCTGAGGATCAAACCCAACGCCTACCATGTGCTAGTTGAGCGCTCTACCGCTGAGCCACAACCCCAGCCTCCAGAAAGCTATTTTTTAAAAGTTCCTAAAACAGATGCACTTAGAGTAACTGAACTGGATGATCACTTCTACCAGTGGAAACCTTTTTATTGAATTTATATAAATTAGGTAGCCCATAACCTTACCCTTACTCTATTCCATAGAAGTTCCCCTGTGCCTCTGGTGCTAAGCACAAAATGTGATTGTTGTCTTTGAGTACGAATATTTGGAAAAGCAGAGAAACCCTCTACTAGGATGTGTATAAGATTTTAAATTATTTTTGACATAAGAATATATTGCTTCCATTCATTACTTTTAATGTCTCCCTTGTTTAAATAACCTTACTTTATTTTCAAGCATCTATTGAAATAATTTTCACTCTTCCAGGTACATAAAGTGACCACATAAAATGTAGGTTAGTTCTGCCCTTAAACCAAAGTATAGATTATAGACACATTTTCAATTTGCAACACCACAGTAGGCATTCTTGTTAAATTAGTGTGAGAAATTAACTTTATTTTGTACAAGGTACAATCCCTTTGCACAGTGAACAAATATATTACAAATCTGTGGTTTAAAAAAGTATTGCCATTTAATAGTATCTTTTATGCTATTGTACAATAAATTGTTTCTTCCTATTTATTTGAATTGTATGCATATCATTTTATTTGATTGAAAATGGAGTTTCTGAAAAATAATCGAACAGATCTTTCCAAATCACCAATACAATGTACAGTGCACATGCTTAGGCTGACCCTGAACCTATTTGTGACAGTGCTAGACAGAAGTTATTCTAACATTTTCTCTGTAAGATTGAAATGTCTTTTACCAGTGACTCCTAGATATGTGAAGGTGGTGTTGTTACCATAGATTAATCACATCCTCTGCCTTTTGCTTTCTGTATTGCCTGACTTGAGCTGTATTACATTGCCTTAAAAAGTCTAGAATGCTAGAGCTGAAGAGCTAGTAGAGCTCCCTTCCCACTCTGCTGCTTCACTTTTTATGCATGGGGGATAAAGGAGCCCAAACAGGCAAGTAACTTGACAAGAGTAATACAGAAGTCTCAACTCAGTGCTTTAGCCATTTCACCTCCTGCTGGATACACTTGCCAAGGGGCCAGTTTGCAGAAGAGAGATGAAACTTGAAACTTGAGTGATGCTGCTTATTTGCAGTTTGTCAGGTAGCAGTTATTGCACATGCAGGATAAGGGAAGAAGATAAAACCTGGAATTGAGATGAAGTTTCTCCTTGCTGATTTGACTTTGCCATGCTGCTTCATCTTTGCTTGACAAAGATAATTGAGCACTTTGTGGCCCTAAAATACTGAGGTAAGTCTCATCTATTATTTCTTTACATATGTATGAGAAATATTTACTTGGGTCTACAAAGTAATTTTCTAGTATTTATATTTTAATAAGGCTTTTTTGGAAAGTGAATTTTCTATTGCTGATCACTCGCTCCCATGCACACATGCAGCATTCATGTAAGTATTATATATTTTCCTCTAACACTAAAATTTGTTTATGCCTTGAGAAGTGGGGGGAGGGGGATTTACTCGTTTATTTTCTTGCTTTTGCTGATTATTGCCCAAACTAATGGGTTCTACGGCAGACTTCCAATTTTTATCAAGGGTTTTAGAACTCTCACACAACCTGTAGCCATATTCCAGCTTTGCAGTCATTTAGATCCTTTTCTTTATACCTTTTTTTAGAAGTCCTTTTTACTGGTTGTACAGCTACCAGAGAATGAAATGGAATAGGGGTGAACATTAGCTACCACAGTTTGCCTTTTCTGTTTTGAATTCTTATAAAGAGGTTCTCTGTAGGGCTTAGAAGCTAGTTCCATTGAAATTATCTGAGCCTTCTTTTACCTATATTCATTATTAATGGAAGATATAGACACATTTGACCACTGGGATCTGGAGCATTAACTCATTGGAATAGATATTTGGCCATCTCAGTAGTTTGTGATTTTAAGGTAGAAGCACTGCATAGCTTCATGTTCTGTTTACTAAAAAGTTTTTACATCATATTAAAATGACTTATAGTCCATTTATCTTATTTAGTTTCATCAAAAAGCATAATGTATGTTAAGCAACATAAACTTGCTGTGTCCACATTTATCTAATTTCCTTTTAGATTCTATACTGCAAACTCAAGATTTTTAACTGCTTGAAATCAAGTACTTTTGTGAGTCAAGGAGTGCCAACTAAATTGGGAAAGCCAAATAGCCATTTTTAGGTATACTTAATTTTTTTAAAAAATATTTTTAGTTGTAGATGGACACAATACCTTTATTTTTACGTGGTGTGGAGGTTTGAGCCCCTTGCCTCACACATGCTAGGTAAGTGCTCTATCATTAAACTCAACCCCAGCCCAGGATATTTAATTCTCATCAGTCTGTGACTACTTACTTAAAGCATTATCTCACAAAGCATAATGTCAGTGCTCTATTTCACATGGAATAACTTGGGTATTGCATGAACTAAGGCAATATGACAAGGCCAGGACTGACTTGCATTGTTCCAGAACTTTTAGTTGGCAAAATTTGGCAAAGCTGGCCTAGAGATCATTGTAGATTGAAAGAGACAACTGCACTTTGGAAACTAAATTTTTTTTGTTTTTCTTTCTTTCCTTTTTTTTTGGCCGATTATCACAGGGCCATAAAGAGAAAGTTAATTTGTGTTTATTAAAGTCTTGTTTTTAAAAATGGAAGTTGTCAGCATCAGATTATATACTACTGTAATCATGACTGTTGTGACTTGATGGACCAGACATATATGTACAGGTACTTTAGGAATGGTATTAGAACAGTTCATATCTATGTACTAATTATCTCAGGTAGAAAAACAGATATTGATGGAAATAGCAGCCAAAAATACAATACATTTCAGGTGCTTTAAAGTAATCCTCTCCCCTCTGCAGTCCCCTTTTCCTCCTAGGAAGGTTTACAAAACCTATTCTACATGTTTTATAAGCATCGTGTTTTCAGAATATTAAAAAAAAAAAAAAAATATATATATATATATATATATATGCTGTATTTAGTTGAGGTTGGTGAGTAGTGGTATCTTAAATGTTTTTTAAAAATCTCAAAATCCAGGGCATTGGGGGCTGGGGTGGGTAGGTGACAGGATTTGCCTTTGTGAACAGACTTCCTTGAATAGTTACCCCAGTCCCACTCGGAAGCTCTTCTTTAGTTCCAGGTGAACTAATATGCAGCTGGAGTCAATCTGTACCATTATTTCAAGTCAAGGGATTGTCTTCTTTCAGAGAGTCAGAATATTCAGCAGAGAACACTGTAAGAGAGAAGCTTATCCCTCTTTAAGACTGCTTGTCCTGGGAGGGCCCATTGGCAGGACTCTGTCTTACTGGGAGAAGGTCATAATGACCAGGAATATGGCTGTTCCTAGGTAGGTCGTATGGATTCTGGACATAGCTGGAGTTATGACCTCGGCCTTCTTGGACCACACTGACTGTGGGCTCTAAGGAATATAGTGAAAAATGAGTTCAGAGAACAGATTAGCTTTGGTTGTCTTGTTGAGAAGGAAGAGAGTACTATTTAACTTGGCAGGGAGAGGAGCTAGGGGTTTATAAATCTATGACAAATATCTGAGGATAAGAACTGAGGCTTACTCAAGAGATGGTAAACCTAAGTGAATGTGCTGTCAAGATCCCACTCTCTGGTCAACACCAAGAGACTTAGGATATCCAGAGGTAGGGGTCTTATCAAAGAGCTCAGGAACATAGTTTAAACTGGGAGAAGATAGAAGAGGGCAACTTAGAAACTTGCAGGTGTCCATTCTGATTGTTTTCTTTTTTAAACTGGGATTTGTATCCACATCAGTTGAAGTTCGTGGACCCATTCCCCATCCCCACTATTTCTGCTTCATATTAGTTCTGTTTTTTTTTTTTTTTTTTAAAGCGGAGTTACAAGAATTTGATTTCCTGCGTTAGAGGGGAGGGCAATAGTAGGTTCACTTTGGATTCCTTAAAAAGCAACCAAAGAAAGGGTGTATTGTCAAGACAGGGTGAGTAGAGAGGGTTTGTTTTTACTTGTTGCTGTACTATGGCCCTGATTTCACTAAGTTACTTATTTGAGACACCTACCAACTTCATATATATTTTTATTAGATGACGACAAGGTTGGCACATCTGTGTACGGAGACCCCCTGTGCACAGGCGACTTCATTTCTACATAGCTGCTTTCTGGAAGCTTGCAGGTGAGGATGGGTGGGTCTTTAATTGTGGCATAAGGGTTTTCACTGCTGTTCAAGGAACAGGTACTAGAACTGCATACGGATTCTTTCATGTAATCTGCAAGGCAAGAGAGATTCCTTAGGACAAGCAAGGACATAAGTTGTCATTTAAGAATCAGGAACAGGCTGCAGTTGAGTTTGTTGGCCATCAGGAACCTGAGGCTAGAAAAACCTATGATAATTGAAGATTTATTTATTTATTAAATGTCTCGAGGTAGTCTTTCCTGGGTAGGCAGAGTTCTTTCTCAAAGAAACTTACATTTTGGAGGTTAGGAAAGTATTTGTTTTTAGTAATTAGATACTAATTTAAGACACCCATAATACACTTTCACATACAGTTTTTTTTTTTTTTAGTTGTAGATGGATACAAAACCTTTTTTAAAATTTATTTTTATATGGTGACAAGGATCAAACCCAGTGCCTCACACATGCTAGGCAAGCGCTCTACCTCTGAGTTACAACCCCAGCCCTCACGTATAGTTTTGAGAAGTAATATTTTGCGTTTTGTAGAATGAAGGCCCAGAGGTCACAACTAGAAACAGCAGTGCTAAGACTTGAATCCATGCCTTGGCACTCTTGGCCTGTGTGTTTTCTGTAATATTGTTCTGAATCCTTTCTGATGATTAAGAGGCTTCAGTTCAGAAGAAGCATAAAGATGTGTTTTAGCATAAGTGTCAGCAATTTAGCAACCTTTAGGTGGTAGACTAGCGGTATCCCTGCCTTTCGGGAGCTCCTGAATACATAGTTGGGTAGATAAGTATAAAAAGTACCTCAGTCTCAAAATAGACTTTGGGAAGTTCCTGTTTTCTAGCAAGCTTGCACTGTATCTTCCAGGGTTGCTTTCTCCAGTTCTCATGAATGCTGAAACCTATTTCAGCAGTATCGTCCTCTGACACTAGAACTAGTGCTGTCTTTCTTGCCACCTCTCAGTTGCCTCATCTCCAAGACTTCAGGGTACGTGCAAACTGGCTTCCAGTCATGAAACAAGGGAATTGTAGTTCCACTGGAGGAAGTCACTGAGGTCTCACAGGGAAAGGGGATTTCCTCCTTCAACTGCTACACTATTCCCTTTTTGGTGACAATTTCTCCCTCCTGTAGATCATCACAAGTGAGGTAGGACTTGCCTGGAAAAAAAAGTAGACTATACTATTGTTTAGTCTTCATATGGAAGGCTTTGGCAAATGGGGAGTCTAGAAACAAATACTGAGTCACAGGTCCTTGATACTAAAGAGTGATTTAAGAGGACTTTCAGCTCTAAATTCTATGAAAGATAGTAGGTGATGAAATTCTTTCATAATCTTTCACTAAAACCCCACAATTTACATTTTAGGTGCTGTTTATCTATGTTGTCTCTAGCTTGTGAGATTATTGAAAATGTTTAAAGTGAAAGTGAAATAACTCAAGGGGTAATTAGATGTGCCTTGGGCCAATAAGAGCAGAGCACTCCATGAGGCAGAAGGTGGTGGGATGTGTGCCACCACAAGTAGTCTTTTCTCAAAACAGGTAATTGGTTGGGATGGGGTTTTTTTTCCTGTTAATTTATGCATCTGTTCTGCAATTATTTGTTTTCTCAGGTAACATTTCCTCAATCTCGTACAAAAGTACATTCATTCATTTGTTCCTTCAGATGTTTACATTGCTGGATGATACAGATATTACTGATAGAGTGATAATTATTATTTACTCCTTCCTCTTCCTCATAACTGCTTATGATGAAATTGAGACTTACAGTGAGGAATTGAGTTCCCCAGGCTCATACTGCTTCAGTAGCAGACAAATTGTAGAGTCAGACTCAGAGTACTTTCTGCAACTAGAAAGGGATGTTTTGGCTTTGTCTTAGATTATGACTTCTTTATAGCATATGACCACAGAGAGAAGGAGAAAACATTCTTACAATATAACGAGCAGTCTCAGGCAATTTCGGCAAGGATTAAAGAAAGGCTGAATAGGCCCAACTGCTGGTGAAGGATCACTTGGGGAGAGGTGGCTGTGGGTCCTAGATCATGACCTGCCCAATCCCACATACAATTTGCCTCTCAGTAGGTGCTTTGTTTTATTGATACAAAGAATGGTGGTAAATCCAAGAAGCTCAAGATGGCCCATGGGTCCCAGTGTGGATTCTCTACTTAACCAGCCAATGAGTAAGGTAATATGACTTAGGGCTTTTTATCTGGAAACTGTGTATTATTTAAAGAAAGGTTATCACAGCTGTCTTGGTTGCATATTTTCTAAGAATTTGAGGAATAGCGATAGCTCAATTTGTGTGGCACAAATTCCTTTTGACACCTCTCATATCTTTCTGTGAAGGGGACTGAGCACAAAGGAATGTTGTTAATATTTTGAAAACAAGGAAACTGAATCCAGAAAGTTTGTTACATAATGTTTAATGTTAGTAAGTCATTAAGTTAGGACTCAATCCCTGTTTTCTCTGATAACTGAGCAGGATGTTTTTCCCTCAGGACATCTTGTTATCCAGAGCTCCTGCCCTTATCTCTAACTGTAAGTGATCTGCAGATGCTTTACCTTACTGTGGACAAGGAATACCTTTAAACTGGGGCCAAACCCTGCTGAGAGAAAAAGGCTAAGCTGTAAACTTGATGGCTCCTGTGGGTATCCCATGATCAAGCTATGGTAGTTGAGGAGCCTTGAAATTCAAGCTCAATGCCTAAAAGAGATCAGCTAGCCGGTGGTATCTCCTTCACATTTTTGTTAGAAAGTCAGGGCTGCTTTCAATATTTGGGGAATAAATTGATTGCTTTAGGGCAGGACATGTACTTAAATCGATAAAAGAGAAGTTTGTGTTGGTGGGAAGGGATTAGGCTCAGATAGAGGTATCTTCCATTTAAGGGCCTGAGGTCAAGACAAGGGATGTAGAACTGCATGAGGATAGTGGGGAGAGTATGCGTGTGTTGGGTATTATTCCATCTTTGCTGGGAACTAGAGGATGAGGAAGAGCAAGGCAAACCAGAAAACTCTACCTCACAAAGCTACTCTCCAGCTGAGTTACTCACCTGCTTGCAAGAAGGGAGAGAAGGGGAAGAATAACTAGTTGCTTAGATACTTCCTCATCTTTTTACAGCCCCACCCCCACCCAGTCCATGCCCTTTGGGTATTTTGCAAAAAAAAAAAAAAAAAGGGGAAGCTTCAGCCAAGGCTACCCAAGCTCTGGGGAGTCACTCCTCTGGGGCCTTGTAATTAGGATCAGAATTGAAGGCTTAGTCTTTATAAGTGACCTGGCATTTGCTCTCATTAACTCTTACCTCTTCCCAAATCACATGTGATCAAGTATCATCACAGAAGGGGCTTTTGAAATAAACTAATCATTCTTTTATGAGGAAGCACAAATTCAGAGAGAGGAAATGGCTTTCCAAAGCCACCTCGAGAAGGGGAGAGAGAAAAGGATTTAGCAGTAAAAGTGGTCTCAGCCCCAGGATGAAAGTGGGTGTAGTTCTTCAGTAAGTAACAGGAAAAAGAGTGGGCACAGACCGAATTAAGACTGGGAATGTTGGAACTGGAAAGGGCCTTAGAGGCGGTGCTAGTACAACTCCATTCTTTTGAAAGAGGAAGAACTCAAGATCCAAGACACAGTGCTGTGACCTAGTCGGTACCACACAAGGAAAAGAACCCAAATCTCTCAATTTATAGGCAAGGGCTTTTTTACATTGCGTTCAGAGAATACATGGATTCTTAGCAGTTCTGATTTCGTTTTGCCCTGTAGTTTTAGGAAATGATTTAATTTGTGGTACAAACTAGTTGTTAATTTGGGGTTTAACCAAGAAGGATTTGTTTCATGTCTTTTGTAAGTATTTCTATAAAGTTTTGAACCATGACATTTCATTTTTCTCTTTGTGAATTCTCTTGTTCAGATGTGTTGGTCCCCAACACCTGCTGGTACATTTGCCTACACAATTCTTTTGTCTTTAGTTTAAAGGATGATTATAGCCAGAGTAGTGAAACAAAACCTGACTGCCTGCCTGCTAGGGCCTTTCATGCATTCAGAGGCTCAGATGTATGATTCTATAAAACAGGAATGGAATGGTGCCAAAGCAGAGATACTGCTTTCCTCAGCTTTGTTTTACATTTATGGTTTTGAGTCTAAAAGTAGCTACCTTAATCACAATGCACAGGATGATAAAGGGCACAGGAAAGTTGTGCTCTCATTTATTAGCATCTGGGCCTGTCTGAGCTTATTCACATTTGAGTCATGCATATTCTCAGCACTGAAAAGGCCCTTAGAGACCTTTCTGCCCAATCCCCATGTGCATTTCAGAAAACAACTAAAGTCACAGTAATGGAATGGACAGCTAGTTCTCTGTCCTTTCTGTTTTTTTTTTTTTTCCACCCTGAAATGGTGTTTGCTTCCATTTGGATGGTTTTTAAGACAGAACTTTTAGAAAAATTGCTAGTCATTCTCGCAAGGAAGTAGCCTGGGTCTGACCTCCTGTCCTTAGATAATTCTCTTTGGCTTTGAATATTCTAATGATGATAGTCACTCACCCTTAGTGTTCTCTTTCTCAGAACATGTTACTTACCACCACACCTGCCCCTTGCTCACCCCACTTATAGTAACCATCACCATAAGAGCTGTAGCTCTCACTTGGTTAGGAAATGGTTGTATCTTGGGGCTAAGTCTGAAAGGTCAGAAAAGTAACCTGGGAAATGGGGTCAGTCTAGACCAGTGGTTTCTAAATGGTAGTTGGATAATAAGCTGCTTAAGGATACCCGGAGGTATCAAAAATGCAAAGTCTAGGACCCCCCTCATCTGCTGCCTCAGAATCTCAGGGAAATGGTATATGAGTACCTGCAGTATTAAACTTAACAGATGATTCTGGTGCAGAGCTAGATTTAGGGTATCCATTGGGACCTTTACTGTCAGTCATTAGCTCTTTCGGTTTAGCTGAGACTCTTCTAAACAGACCTCAGAGACAAAATGACAGCCCCTTTACATTAGTACAGTGATTATAATATGCAAAAACATTTCCCATCTGTGGTTTTATTGGATACTCATGATAACCTTGTTAGATAATAGGAGAGGCATTTGACAAAAGGATACGCATAATTATCCCAATCTTGCAGATGAAGAAACTGAGCCCTGGGGAGCTCACAGTTAATAGGTGACAGAGTTCCAAAGCCCCTTATTTTATATGTTCTGGCATTTAAACTAGGACTTAGTCCAGGGGCAGGACTTGACCTTTCATTTTTGGCTTCACCCATAGACTTCCTAGAGGGAGTTATCTGTCTTGCATTTCCTATGTGTTAGGGTACTCTTGGGAGCCGAGATCTCTTGAGGTAAAGTGCATACAATATTAGCACTGGGTATCATTTTCATCCCTTATGCCCCAGAAAGGCAGCAGGTGCAGGGTGGCGTTCTTCACCAGCACGACAGGAGGCCTCTGGGGCAGGTAGATTGACTTTATTTCAGATTTTATTATCAATTTAACTCATACTAATTGGTGGGATAATGACGTTCTACATTTCCGAAGACATTTAGTTGGCATCTATATAAAACCCACAAGCGTTTGCTAAGCAGGTGCAACTGAAATCGAAAGATGAATTCATTATTATTATGATTTCTCCTCTTGGGCAGAGCTACCCAGCAGCCCCAGGTCCTGTGGCCTTTTAATTTTTATTTTAAGGGAGTGGGTTGAGATATGCAGTTTCTCTCAGGCAGAATTCCTGGTCATTTCAGATCTGTACTTTCTCTTGCTAAGCCCTTTGTAATAGGACGTCAGGATTGGATACTCTACCTTTGAAGCCTTTGTCCATAATGTATGTGTTCTGACGTCTATCCATTCCACAAGCACCTGTGTAAAAATAATATAAGGGAAGAAAATATGGGGGTGAGGTTTATTTAGACTGCTTATGTTCTTTTTATTTCCCTTTCTCCCCTAACCAAAAAATAAATAGTTATTGGTAGAAAATTATTCTGGGCTTAATCTACCCTGAATCCGTTTGCATGTATAGGAATTCTTAAAAGGCTCCAGGCGTTAAGGTGTGCCACAGCACCCCCTGGCACACTAGGTCTTAAACCTTTAACCTTCATCTCAGGAGAGTGCCTTTTAGGAGGTAATAAAAGGCAGTTCCAATGTCACATGCAGTCACTGTAAGTGAAGTTCCAGGCTCCAAAGGTACAGGATAAGAAGAAGCAGGACCAGTTTTTAGCTTGAGGGAAGGATGTAGGATAATCCAACTCTCCTTTCTGTTGGATTTTGGAATGGGTTAGAGATAGTGTTTCTCACATCTCTCAGCTCTGGTCTTGCCTATCCTCTATTGAATCCAAGACTCAATGAGGGGAGCTAGAGGGAGGTACACAGATGGCTGAGGTTCTTGATTAGTCATTTTTATAGGAAGTATAGTAATCTAGAACCATTCTCTCAGTTACCCGTTTTGGGGGGATGGGCCACTAGTATATAATTGAGATTTATTTTTGAAAAGTATTACTGGTGTTTTTCCAGCTCCAAGAATTTCTTTCTCCCTTTTGCTGTCAGTTTTTTTTCCTAGGTTCCCACAATGCATGGTCCTGATCCCTAGTCAGGCAGGACATAAAGCTTCAGGGACCATGTTTGGATTATTTTGTCACTGCTGATCTCAGAAAAGAAATGGTCTAGTATTTCTAAGTTGGGACAGTAATAACTCTGGCTCAAAGTTAAAGCCACCCGTCCCCAGCTTTTTTGGACATTATATAAAGCAAGGCATGCAGCAGGTGCTTGCTAAAATACAGTTGACTCCACTTAACTATTCCCCTGTTTCTGAACTGAAGACCAACCACTGCTGCTCTCTTCCACAGAGTTCACAAGTTGAATTTGCAGGGTTTCATTGCTGTCTAACTGCTGTATACACATTACTGAGTGATACAGCAGAACCAGGCCCAAGTTTTTCTCAAGTTGGCCATTCTTCTAAAAGGCCTACAAGCTGTGCCCTGTAGAAACAAGACTGCACCAGTCTCGATATCAGTATCTAGCACTTTTTACCAGACAAGAGATTTCTTTGCCCCGACTTAAGGAGGGTGGTTAGGCTGTTAATTTTTTTCTTTTTTTATAGAACAGAGCCCCAAAGAGTGGCAGAGACTTGCTTAAGACCATACCAGCAAGTGAGAAGTTGAGTTGCAACTAGGGCCCAGATATCCCCAACTGTTCTCTCCCATTGACCACCAACTAGCTTGCCTGAATGTAAGCTGCCAAATGACAATATGTGGTGCTTGGCTATGCCCTGACATGAGCCCAGAGGATGCTCTCATGTGGAAAGAGATATAAGGTGGTGGTGGCATGTGTATTGTCAGGGAGGTGTAGTTGGTAGGGTTATTTATTGAGTGTCCCAGCTACTCTCCAGGATACCCATAGTCAAAAACACAGCATCTGAGGCTGGGATTGTAGCTCAGTGGCAGAACGCTTGCCTCGAATGTGTGGAGCACTGAGTTTGATCCTCAACACCATATAAAAATTCAAAACAAAACACAGCATCTGGGTATGGGTATAGAGTACTTGCTGCCTATGTGGGGTCAATAGGTGGATGAATTGAGAACTTTTGCTCTTTCTAGTGCTGCGGGACCCAGGACCTTCAGAAGTTGGTAGAGCTGCTTGATATCCCTTGAGCTTCTGAAGCCAGCTAGAACTGAGGTTGGGCCCAGAGTTGTCCAGTGTCTTATGGCCCTGCCCCAGGGTGCCCTAGAAACCAGTCTGTGAAGACACAGTGACTAGAGAAGATATTTTCTGATCATTAATTTTATTCATTCCTTTGATACCTACTTCTATAACTCCTACCCCCATGCTCCTATTTTAGGACTTGCCACATTTCCTTTTCGCACCTCTCCCAAGCCACCAGGTTCAAGCTTAATATATGAATACAGAGGGCGTTGGTTGACAGATCCTCCCTCAGTTTCCCCAGATTTCTGCTCTGCAACCCTACCCAGTGATCTGGGAATGCTTAAATTTGCCCTTGGTGGGTCTGGGGTCTCTAGGGGACTTTTGGCTTTTTGGTCAGAGAACAAACTCTGTTACCTGCACTAATAGGGACTGGAGAATTCCAAAGGTGTCACCATCCCCAAGCCATTTTCCATTTCCCAAGGGTTGCATTTTATGGGCTACAGGGAGTGCAGTTATATTGAGTCCTTTCCACCTAAAGCAACCCAGGTTTGTCCACATCTACTGGCCATGATAGAACAGATTCAGACAGATTGCCTTCTTAGGGCTGGGCATTGGATTGGCATTGGGAAGGAGGGAAAGGTTCAGCAATAAGACTTCTGGGGCCATAGGAGTGGCTCAGGTAGGGATAGGGAGTAGATCAGGGGCTGGGTCTGGTCTGAGAGGGTGGAGGGTAGGTCTGGGGCATCTGACCTGGCGAGTGTGGCTCAGCGTGGTGGCTGAGGTGTCTAAGTTCAATGTAGAAGTCCTCGGGCGGGTACCTGGCCTCCAGGGCACTGATCTGGAAATGGGAGTCTAGTGAGAGGAATGACAGGGAGGAGCCATTATTTCTGGGGCCTGGTATGGTAGGAAGAGGGGGTGGGAAGTATCTTGAGGAGGCAAGGGTCAGGGTGGAGCAGCCTAGAAGGAATTAAGGCCTCAATGTGTAAAGTCCAAAGGGGCCAGGGCTGATGGAGCAGGGTATCTGCTAGAGAGCCAAGGCCATCTGCCTTGTTTCCCCCATACCTCCCACCTCCACCCCGTACAGGGCACAAGAAGGAAGCCCTTGAAAGGAGCACTTTGGTAGGGCCTGGGTCAGACAAAAGTCTTTATCCCAGACGGTGAGCAGACCTTTTGCTTCCATCTAGAATCCCCATATTCCAGCCCTACCTGTCTTCCTTTGTGGTCCCAGGGTCATAACCACCCACTCCTTATAATCTGTTACAGAAATTAAGGGAGTCCTGGGCTTCATTTGCTTGGGTTTCTCCCTGCTCCCATTCTCCCTGGGGCAAACCGTGCTCAGGACTTACAACCTTCTCCCTTTGAGCTGGGTTAGGGCCCTCTCAACATGGAAGAAGAAAACGGTGGATCATGATGAGGGGAACCAGACTGAAACCACTACTGACCTAACACGTTCACATAGCTGTAGGGGGTCCAGCCTGCTGTGTCTCTGTCAAGGGACTTGTTACTGAGCTGTTTGGAGAGTAGGAAAGCCAGTTAATACCTAGTTCCCCCAGGTTCCCTCCCCAGCCGTCACTTGGTTCCACCTCAGCACACCCACTCCTGTGATGATTTTGGACTCGGAGGGGAGGGAAGTACTAGATGAGAACCAAAATAGGGTCTTGAGTCACCATATTGTGGCTGAGGCCAATGGGAACAGAACATCCCCCGTCCACACTGTCAGGTTGAAGTTATAGGATTCCCAGGCTCTTGTGGCAAGGGAGAGGGCAGGAGCAGGGCCTCCCAATGGCCAAGAAGGCTTGAAGCAAGTGAGCCCCTTTCAGGGGTAGGGCTAAGCTGCACGAAAGGGGCTCTGGAAGTGCCTCAACTGTAACATGAGGCCATTGCCACCACAGAGGTAGGTGTCAAAGCTGCCCACAGTGCTTGCCACCTGACCTGGGACGCATGATAGTCTCCCTTTCATATGATGAAGGGAAAGCCTCAGAGCAGGAAGTCTGGAGGCTTATGTTCAATTCTCCCTACACCTCACAGCCACCCTTCATATGAGGCAAGCATGTTATCCTTATCTCACACACGGGGACCTGAGTTCTGGCTTTGAGCTTTGCTTGAGGACACACAAGGAGTCAGTGGCAGAGCTGAGTCTAGAACTCTGACCTCAGCTCCCAGTCTGGTGTCCTTTTGATGTTGCCATAGCTTTTTTGCTTCTGCTATATCCCTTTCTGCCACATTGAGGGGTCCTTGATCATGTAGAAGCACTCGGGGGTGAGGTGAGGTGAGCCAGAGAGTCAGAATACCCAGTAGGGTACTCCGCAGTAACTTTGGCCCCTTTCTGAAAGGTGCTTCCCTGTAAATTGAGACCAAGAATGCCATTGTCTTTCATTTCTAGTGTCTTTTGCCTCTAGCCTGATGCAGCCTTGGTAATGTGGTCTCCTCCTGGGAAACTCCAAATTTTCTTAAGATCCCAGCTACTCAAACAAGTCTAAAGGTAAAGCTGGGAACAGAGGTCTGAACAAAGGGACATACACACAAAGTGGCCAGTGCTAGTGAACTATGTGTGGGGTTGATGGCCACAGACTTTACAAGGGGGCCTCCAGGTACCCCACATGCAGCACTCCTGTTCATAGGAAAACAGGCTGGGAGGGGTAGAGGATGGTGCCTTGACTTGTTGCTCGAGGCTGTACAGAGTCTTTGTTAGCATTGCTGTGGGATTTAGGCTCTAGTACTCCCAAGTCTGTGGACTGGTGGTTATTCTCCAGGGGGCAGACAAGGAGGGTGGAATTCCTAGAGCTCCAAGTCAGTGGCCTGGAATATGAAAGCTATGTTCCTGGCCCAGAATGGATGTTATAGGAAGCCAGGAGTCCTGGAACTGCTCATTCCTCAAAATGGCTCTGCTGGTGTGTGTGTGTGTGTGTGTGTGTGTATGTGTATGTGTACATGTATGTGTGGGCACATACATAGGTGTCAGGAGGTTTGTAGCATGAACTCATTACTCCTTGTTCTTGGGTCTATTTGTCCTCATTCTCTCTCCCAGTGCCTGGTCACATACTAGCACATTAAGGGGGCACACTACTATTATCTATAAACAGATGTACTGAGACAGCCCTGCCCAAAGGCCTGTGACTAAGAACATCTTGCTGTGCCATCAACCAGGGTTTTGCTGGGAGCTGTCAGGGAAGGCCCCATCCAGGAGAGTGCACAATCTGCCCAACTCTCTGTCGAAGTGGACACTGGCTATGGCTGATGTTTGAGTTACACATCTCTTGTGTTGGTTCAAATTGCAACAAATGGTGTGTACTGATGACACGGTATGTTCAAGTTCAAAAGACATTGAGTGGTTACCTGAGTAATGGTATATTGTGCTGGTTACACACAGTGTATTGCTAACATTCTGTAGTGATTTGTGGTAGGTAGTATAGTGTTTTGATGATGTGTTGATGTTGGCAAAGGTGTCTAATACATGGTTATATGTAACAAGAAAGCTACATATGATGATTAAATGACTTGATACCAATTGGTTCCACACAAGGTGCAAGGGTATGTTACATAGAATGATGCTGTAGATTGGTTACATGTGATGCCTGCTGATTACAGTACACTTGGCTCCACATACATGCTCTCATTATATGATTCTGTGTTTACATGTACCATGAATCCCAAGCCTGCTCTTAATGAATTAGTTCCACATGGGCAGAGGTGAAGGCTAAATGAGAGAACAGTGGATGGGGGCTGGGGATTTAGGGGCCCGGTACCTTGGTGGGGCTGTTCCTGTCCAGAGTGCTGGCCTGGCTGGTGGCAGGCCCCCCGCACGCCAGTGCGTGGTAGCTGGAATTGGAAAAGCACTGGGCATGGCTGCTACTTTGAGACAAATCTGGGAAGAGAACAAGGTGCCATATTCCATCACATACCTCCCCCTGGCATTAGACACCCCCAAAAGTAATGCTTGGGTTGGGCAGCCTTGAGAGTACCCTGCAAAATGACCAGTTCCCCTTCTCCCAGCTTCCTGGCACCCACTACCCTAGGGAAATCTGGAGAGCCTGGTTTGCTGCCTTCCTCATGCCAGCCCTTCTGCAGCATGCAGAATGCAAGTCAGGCTCACCAGTGTGTAGAGGGTGGTACTCTCAGTTGCAGCCTGTTGAGAAATGTTGGCCCTGATGGCCTCACTTGTCCCTGGGTTGCTATTTAGGATGGGGCCAACCTTTTCCTGCCTACCCTTAGGGTCAGACCCCATACAGAGAATCCCACTCCTCTTGACCCCAGCCCTTCTCTCTTGAGGATTCCATGACCTTTCCATAGAGCTGGGGAATACCAGAGGAACGGTATGAGAAAACCCAGCCAGCCTTACTCATTATGGTCAAAGAAGAAAACACCCAAATCTCTGTGGGTTTGGGCATTCATCAGAGGCTGTTGACATTGGCTGAAGCATGTAGGCTAGGAGCTCTTTGAAGGCAGGGGGCTGTACCTGGGCCACCTGTCTATCCTGAAGCCCCTAGCATTGAGCTGGCAAACAGCAAGTTACACAGTAGAAATGGCTAAAGGTCTGGATTCTTTTAAGTACAAAATACGGGAGGCTGGAGGTCTGCCATAAACTGTGGAGGCAGCTGCAGTGAGCTGTCCTGTGCTCACCCAGGCAGGCCCAGCCTCTCCTCCCAGGGTTATGAGCATTTTTCAGAGCATTTTGGCTTCTACTGTTAAGCTAAATATGAAGTAAAAAGCCTTATCTCCAAGGCGACAGTCCAGGTTAAGGGGAGAGAGAGAATCTGGCCCAGGATCACCATACATACACCCAACTTGGACTCCCAGGGAGAATGCCCATTGGAGGTGTCACCACATCTGTGAACAGACTGGGCTCTGACGTGCCTATAAGAGGGACATTGGCCAAACTTTCAGATGTCTCCTAAGTCAGGTGCCACCCTCTTCTACTGGACTAATAGGGCCCTCCTGCCTCAGGAAAGGTTGGCCTGAGGCCATCACCAGGAAAAATGAAATGTACAGAGCCTAAGGCCTAGCCTCCTGCAAGGCAGAGGCATGGGGCTGGGGAGACATTCTTTTGGAGAGCTTAGGAAAGCTACTGCTTAGTATAGGTACCCCTGGGTGAAGCTTAGGATGGGGAACCTGTGGGGAAATAGGACCAGGAAATACCAACCATAGCTGCTCAGAGTTGGGGATCCAGGAAATGATAACGCTTAGAGCTCCATGTACCTTTTCAAGTAGGCTCTCACTTCCCACCCCCATCTGGAGGTGACCACACCCAGACCCAGCCACCAGCCCTGCAGGCACAACCATCTTCATTAAACCTGGGTGTCTGCAAGGATGCTGTGTAGTTCCTCCTGATTGAAGAGGGAATACCCAGGGTATAGCCCTTACCTGAGAGGGAGTAGTCAGTGCTGGTCATTCTCATGGCAGGTGTGTAGGAGACACGGGGAGCCAGGTCCCGCCCCTTCTCTTTCTGTCGCCGCCTGCGCCAGGCAAACAAGCCCAGCAGTACCACGATGAGGAACAACAGGAGGACAATGCCTGTGACAGCACCCACTGAGTGCCGCTCTGCACCCAGAGCTGGACTGATCTTGGTGTAGGGATTCAGCTCTTCCATCATGAGGGCAGCTGTGGGCAGAGGAAGAGCCTGAGCTGGTCCGGCTTGCTCTTCAGGTCTCCCAGACTCCTTTAAGCCCTCTAGTGGTAGAAGACCTGGTACTGGAATTGGTCCTTTTCAATCCCTGTGTGACCCACCCCCCATGGAGCCTCCGTTTCTTCAACCTCCTAAAAGGCAATGGAGTCCAGGTCATGGCAAGGAGCAAATGTAACTGTGGTTGTGAAACAAAATAACGTTTATTGAGTATTTTGTTCTGTCACAAAAATGAGTTAGAGTTACTTAATCTTTGTGGCAGCCCAATAAAAAGGGATTATTCTCATTCCTTTCTACTGATGAAAAATTGAATCACCAGAAGGTGAGGTAACTTGCCCAAGATCACACACCCAGTAATTGGCAGCCAGGAAGAAATGGAGTCAGCTCCTTTCCCTGCTCACCAGGTTTGTGACACAGCTTACAGTTGGTTTACTCGTGACATAGAGACAATAACCCCACCTTCCCAGGGGAGTTGTGAGCACCCTGTGATAGACTGGCAATGAAAACTGGGAGTGCTGCACCTGTGTGCCTAGATTACTGCTCACAAGGTGCCTCTTGATTATATGTGAGGCTTGCCCCCGCTCTGTGCTGATGCTCAGTCTGGGGGACCATCCTGCCACCCAGCAGCATCTAGACCCTTCCTTGGCTGCCGGCTGCTAATGAACAGAGCCAGCCAACATTACCAGGGAGTAAATGTGCTGCATTATTCTCCATGATATATCCTCAGAAGGCAGTGGAAACATGGCTTCTGACCCCTTTTCTGTAATTCAGGTCATTGAGAGCCCATTCTCCTCCCCCATCTCCTAAACCAACAATCATATAATCCCTCACAGGATGGTAGCACTTTATAAAAGGTTTTATGTACACAAAACCACCCTGTGTGGAGTGCTCACATGTGCTAGGTGTTTTCCTGAGTCCTTTACTCAGTGTCACAATTGATCCTGGCAGCTGCACCATAAGGTCACCTGACTGTATAGAGCTGGAGCCAAGGTAGAGCCCCTTGGCCTCTAGAGGAATCTTGTGTCATGGGGCAAGACAAGTCTCTTCCCACTTTGCATGTGGCATAACAGGCCTAGCAAAAACAAATGACCTACCCAAGGACAACTGGCAGGTAATGGCAAAACTAGAACTTGGCAGATATTCTGACTTGGTCTGGTTGCCTCTCCATAACACTGGCTTGTGGTTACCCTTGCTTGATTCATGTGAAATTTGCCAAGGATGAGCAGGGGGAAATGGAGTCTGCCTACAGGTGTCTGCCTCCACTCTCTTCCCAAATGAAAGTCGAGGGAAGTATTCTTCAAAAATACCAGCTAGTCCAGCTGGAACTCCATGGAGACTCCACAGTGCCCATGCACCCTGTCACCTGTGCATTACCTTGGTCACACCTGATTCCTTTGAATCCAGGGCTGCAATAACAGGTGCCAGTGACGTGGTCACAGGTGGCATTGTTCATACACTCACAGAGCTGCTGACACCCATAGCCAAAGGTTCCTGGGGCACATCCTGTGTGGCATGAAAAATGTGGGTAGACAGTGAGATGCAGCCATTCCCCAACCCTCCCATTCCACGGAGGGTTATCTACAGCAACAGGCCAGTTCTGTCTCGTGTGGTGTGAAGCCTGTTTAACCGAGGCTCCCATTGTGTTTTGTTTAGATACTGGAGGTAGACAGAGCACTTATAGCCCAGAATGGTGGGATATGGGGCAGAGGAGAAGAGGGCAGGACTCACTCACCCATACTTCTTCCATGTGCCAGGCCCTGAGCTGGGTGCCACAGGGACTTAAACAAAATAAGAAGATCCTGCCTTTCTCTAGTCCCTTATATACTCCTTATATACACAGCCCTTGCTGTGCCCTCAGTTCCCTCCCCTGGAAACTCTTTAAGCACTAGAGTAGACATAGCCCTTGGGTTTTTCTTTAGGAATTACCCCAAAAACCCGAGCAGGGGGTGAAGAATTTTAAATGAATGGACCTTCAAGGGGACACTGCCCCTTTAGAAGGCTGAGGCCTGGCACCCAACACCCAGGATCAGGGGTTGGGGCAACTTACTCTGCTCACAGTGCTGCCCAGTGAAGCCTGTGCGGCAGGTGCACTTGCCGCTGATGTGATCACAGCTGGCGCCATTCTGACACTGGCAAACGCGCCCACAATCTTTCCCAAAAAATGCTGCTGGGCAACCTGGAGAAACAAGATCTCTGGTCACAGGAGTTTCTGCAGAGTCAGGACAACTGTGGAGGTGCAGCTGGGACCAGACCTATCTCAGTCTCCTCTTTCACGGAGCATAGGGTAAAGACTAGTGAGACCCTGGACCTGTGCTGTCTCCACACTTTCTACCCACTTGCTGAAGGGGTAGAAGTGGGACTGAGTAGTTCTTCCTTCAAAGGGGTCTTGGAATCAGAGGCCAGACTCAGATCTCTTTATTGTATGCCATAGGCTGTTCCTCTCCATTGTCCAAGGAGGGCTTGGTCTTTGTGATTGCTGGGGTATCTTAGATCCCTGACCTTCCAGAACTTTGGGCCTGTGAACCCTGAGTCCAATAAGACCCTGGGGCCGGCTTCTTCCCTCCCTCTGTTCAGGCCTGGACTATGCTCACGGTGGCCAGTAGGCTGCAGCATGGGATTGGGAGTGGCTGGGAGGCCAGGAGGTGGGGCTTACGCTGTGTGCAGAAGAGTCCGGTCCAGCCCGGAGTGCAGTGGCAGGCCCCATCCTCAGCGCTGCAGCTGGCCCCGTTGTGGCAGCTGCATGTGTGGAAGCAGGCAGAGCCCCAGAACCCAGGTGGGCAAGCTGGGGGGTGGGTGGGATGCAGAGGGTGAGGGCAAGGCAGAGAGGGGCAGATGGAAAGGGAGAGGAAGGGGAGCACATGTCAGAGCCAAGATGCCAGGATAGAACCATTTCTTGGCTTTCAAGGGCTTGATGCACTGTTCCCAGATTTCCTCACTTCTTAGCCTAGTCGCCCAGGATTTTCACTGGACCCCGATTCTCTGGCCACTCTCCTAGTCTTCAGTGACTGCTGAGCAAGGTTCAGAGGGCTCCTGTATACTCCCTCTCCAGGGGCTGCCTGATTTGGAGCATGTGAATAAATACTGGGGCTTATATGAATATACTGTGTGTACTAGCTTTCCCATGAGAGTGGGGACTTTCCCAGGGCAAGGACTGTCTCTCCTCTTAGCTGGTGAGCTAAGGAAGGAGCCCAAGTTGCCTAAAGAGAATGGAATTCCCTCAGGCCACACCATCTAACTGGGACCTCTTATGACTACTGGCTTGGTCTCACTCATCAGAGGAGGAGCTCCACAGGGCTAGGACCAGGTCTCTGTCCTTAGATTGGGGGCCCCCTGGAGAGGGGATGCTACCTTTGAATCCGACTAGGTGCACCTTACATGAACGGCCCCTATAAGGCCCTGTCCAGGCTTAGGATGCCCAGGACACCACACTGGGCACACAGAAGGCCTGCATTCCTCCCAAGGCAACTGCTTTGGTCTTGCCTACTTCCAAACTCCAGCATGCCATCCAAACTCAGGGGCTGCTCCTCACACAGGTGCTAATGGAGTATTAATTCTCAAAATTAATAGCATTCGTGGTACTGTCAACAATATCTTTAATAATAGGAGTTAAAATATCCTTGGTCAATCCTGGTGATTTTTCATGTGAACTAGAGAGCTGAATGGGGATTTTGTTCCTGAGTGGAGGTGCCAGGGCAGAGAGGTTCTTGGCAATGAAGGAAGTTTCAGGGACTGACCCTAGATGGGGGTATTCCCATGGGGAGAAGCTTACCTTGTGAGCAGTCCTTGCCAATCCATCCAGGAAAACACTGGCAGGAGCCATCGATGGGGCTGCAGGTCCCATTGTTGGCACAGGAGCAGAGCTGGGCACAGTCCTGCCCAAAGTGCCCTCCAGCACATACTGTGGGCACAGGGTAGCCTGGCACCTGTCCTGTCTCTCATACCCCTAAAGCCACCACCCACAGCTACACCCCCAGAGGGTCCTGGGCCACAGCCACAACCATCCTGGGGACTTGGATCTGGATGGCACCCTTATCACCCTTCTCTGTTTGCATATAAGTGTGTTTCCATCTTCAGAAGGCTCTATTATGATCCTTTTTGATAGGAACAGGCTGAGGCCCACAGAGGTGGAATCACTTGACTTAGGTCTCACAGACAGGAAGTGGTGAGGCTGGGCTTTACCCCTGTGGACTCTCAGTCCAGTGCTCCCTATCCTGTTCCCCAGCCTGCAGCTTTGCATCACCACACATGTTCGTATCACCAATCCCCTAGCCACAGGATGAGGATGCTTATAGCTGGAAGGAGAGGGACCAATGCAATGTGGCAGGTATGTCTGTAGTTTGTCTGCTGGAGGACTGGCCCTGCTGTCTGTCCCTGTCCATCTGTCCTCTAACCTGTTCCTCAAGCCTCAGCCTAGTGTCCTCTGGTCCCCAAAGGCCCTGTTCTCCCCTGCACTCCATGGCATTTCTACTTTGTCACCTATAGAGTTTTGGCCATAGCCCCTTCTGGAGGAGTCACTCCTTGATCTTGGAGGAAGGACAGGTTTCCTCAATCAGATTGTAAGCTCTTTAGGACTAGGTCTAAGTATTAATTTGGTACCTGCCTATCTCTGGTTTCCTGCAGTCCATCCCATGACCCTACTTCTCAAGCACAACTCTCTTCATGGCCTCCCTATTCTCTCACACAGCTTCAACAGCGCCCCATTGTCCCAGAAAAAAATCTCTGGGGTCTTGGAGTCCAGCACTAACCTATCTCACCTGGCTTGTCCTGGATTACTCCCATCTTTCCCACATTGCACTTTCTAAACACACCTAGGCCTTTCTCTGGATCTTTGCTGAAGCCGTTGCCTTTCCCCTGACCCTTGTGTCCAGCTGTGGACATCCTACCCTGCCTTAGAAGATTCATCTTAAATGTACCTCTTCCACAATTCCTGTGTTACTAGTAGACTGCTAGTTGTTCGTCAACACTAAGTATCTTCCTGTGAACTAGAATCTTGTGTTTTGGTTGTGCTGTGGCCCCCTGGAATAAAGACTTCATTCCTTGGACTCCTGAACAGCTAGGTGTGGCCATGAGACTGTAGTCTGGCCCATGGTAAGCTCTGAAGAATAAAGAACCTGGGACTCTGACATCTCTCTCTGTAAGCTGCCCTAACATTCCCCATTGGCCTGCTTGTAGATCTTTTCATTTTTTAAAAAATACATGAAGGAAATAATGCTTATTATTTTTAAGCCACTTATTTTGGATTTTATGAGGCTTACATCTGAACTCAATCCTAATGGATTCACTCCTCTTCTCTGTTCTGGGTGGCTATGACCTTGTTTCAGTTTCCAGGTAGTTTCTTCCCTAGTCTTCTATGAGACTTGTAAGCCTGTTTCAGGTCAGGCTTGGGCCCCATCCATATCTATGTTCCCTACAAAGCCTGGAAAGGCAGCAGGTGATCATGACACAATAGCTGAATGTATGGAAATAAACTGACCTTGCCTCCCAAGTCCTGCTGGGAAAGGCTGAGCTCAGAATTTCCTCCTCTGAACTAGGCTTTGAGGGCAGGGAACATGGCTCTGGTGCTTTACTGTATCCGAGTGTCCAGCACAGACTCTGATGTCCAGTACACTCTTAGGAAATGTTCCAAAATGCCCAAAATCATTCTTGGGAGCAGTGATCTTCCAGAGGACCTTACTGGGATTGACCCCTATCCCTTTAAGCTCTTCTCAGTTTAGCATGCTCCTCCCAAAGCCCAGTCCCAGCAGCCTGTCCAAAAAGAGGCTTCCTTGCCTTCCTTGGGAGGGCAGCTCCTGAATCCTGAGGCCCTCAGTTGGCTGAGACACACGGAGAATCAAGGACTTGAAGGCAAGTAGCTTCCTGGGTTAGGTCTCGCAAACCCTGGCCTGGTATCTCCTCCTTCCCACCACACTGCTTTATGTTGTCAGCCTTTCCCCAATCAGATTGTGAGCATCTGGTGGCAGGGATCTGCATTCCCTCTGCCTCCCCTGGACATGGTTAGTGGTTGGGACACAATAAAGGCAGAATTGGTGGCCAGACTCTCCAGTCCAAAGCCCTGGGTTTGGGTCCTAGATTTATTCTGTGTTCAACAAAGATACATATGGTATTAATATACATCACTGTTCAAAGTGCTTCACAAATATTAGTTCACTTAACCTTGGCATGTTTTCATTATTAGGTATTCTCATCACTCCCATATTATTAACTCCACTTTGCAGATGAGGAAACTTAAGCAACTTTCCCAAGGTCACACAGCTAGGAAGTTCTACTGCTTATTGATTAAGTACTTTTGAGCAAACCACATCACCCCTCTGGGTCTCCATTTCCTCATCTTTGAAATGGGGATGAGAAGGCTCAGCTATAGGCAGGCTGGCTGATCCTGGGCCCTGTGCTTCCCCTGGCAAACCCCTGTCCAGGCAGGTCTACTGCCAGAAGGCAGACACACGTCCCACCTGTGTGCAGTTCCACCTCCACCTTCAGCTTCCTTAAGAGCAAGTCACCTAGACTCTTCTTCCCTGACTCAAGAAGGTGCTCTATTTGGAGAATCCACATCCAGCCCTGGTTCTTTGGGGTGCCCAAGTAGCTTCACTCCCCTATCCCCCAAACAACTCTGAACTTCTCTAACAAGACAGTCTTTGAAGTCTTTCTCACACGCATATGGCAACATGTTTGCCCACAGAGCTGCTAATGTGACCATCTAATACGTTAATTGGTTGACTTCTTAGTTGAATCAAGAGTAAGGGTGCTGGAGAGAAGGGGGGCTGGTGGAAAGAAAACATCTGGTTATATTTAATCTATGTTTAATGATTCTGCAGAAGCAGTGTCTGTAATTTGTAACTCGCTGGAAAGCCAGTCATTAGAAAGTGTCAGTTCAATTTTTTACAAGGTTTGAGGCTTAACCAGGGCAGTTGCCATTAATAGCAAACTCTATTAGATCTGTATGTGGAAAATACTCATTAGGCCAGTGGGCGATAAATCAGACAATGCAGGATGCGGGAGTTACTCCTCAGCGGGTTAGGTCCTAATTTAGACCAGACCTATCTTTATTGACGGCTGGGTCTCCTATGTTTAATAAGTAAACCTCAACATGTCAGGTGATGATTGAACTGTCCTAGGAGGGTTGCAAGCAAATGAAACTGTCACATATGTTTCCCTGGGGCCCAAACTTCTCTCATGACCTCAAAGCATCATGGAGTAAACTTTCCACTCATACATATTAACGGCCCGCAGACTTAAATAGCCCAGCTCAGTAGTGATTATTCATCAAAAGAATGGGTTCCCCTGGGAGGTGGTGAACTCTCAGTCAAGAGAAGTATTTAAACCGAGGCCAGATGAGATTCTTGCCTGGGTGACCTTGAAGTTGCTTTTAGCTCTAAGTTTACATTATCCTAAGATCCTTTCACTCCTTAAGGGTTAGAGTGCAAATTCTGCCAGGTGGGGTTCAGGATTGCATTCAGAGCTCTTCCGAAGGCCCCAGCCTACCTTCCCAGCCCCTTTTTTCATCTCTAGCTTCCACCTCCTTCAGCCATTCTCTACTGCTGGGTGATAGCAGGTCCAGGCCTCTCTTCTTTGTTTAGGGAGTTTCTGCCACCAGGGTGCCTCTCTTCCTTCACAGACTAAAAGCCCAGCTAAGTCCTGCATAGTGCACGGAGCGTCCTCCAGATCCACACTGCCTTTGCCTAAGTCCCAAGCAAGGAATGGTGTGTTCTGGAGCCCAGTGCCTACCTTTTCTCTGGTTGTTCATGTGGAGGAAGTTTGTGAGTGGTGTTAAACCATTGGTACTTTGAAATCAACCATGGTGACACCTGCAAGTGTCACAAAGTGAGGCATTCCCCACAGATAACTAGTATAGCAGCACAGCAAAGCAAGTAGGCTCTCCACTCCTGTGGAGTGCAGTGGCCCTGGAGTTGATGTTGTGAAGGGTTTTGAGGTTGATAGGAAAGCATGTGGAGAGGGACTGGCAATGCCCCCCCCAAGCTCACGGGAGAAGGACTACGGCTTTCCTATCTGCAGCCAGCGCCAGAACTGACCCCCGTGCTCTCCCGGAGTCCTCTGCCTTTTACCACTGGACAATCCGCATAATCAGTCGATGCCTGTGATGGATCTTTTCTATGCTTATTTCATCTTTCATCCCCTTGGTGAGGGTGTTGGAGCCAGAAGTTGTTTCTGCCACTCACTAGCTGGGAGACCACAGACTAGTCATTTCACCTCTTTACACCTGTTCCTTTAAATGCAGGATGACTTTGTCTCATGCCATGCAGTGCTCGGAATTGAGCCCTGAAGAGGGAAGGAGCTGCCATCACAGAATAGGAGCGGAACCCCAAGCCCTCTCTTTTCTGTCTCTTCCCTCCCAGGACCCGCTCCCTGCCCTGTGCCTTTCCCTTAGAGACAGTACCTTGGTTGCAGAGGGCTCCGGAGAATCCTGGGAGGCACTCACAGAGGCCACTGATGTGGTGGCAGGGCCCACTGCTGTGCACGCAGAGGGGACAAGGCTGGGTGCAGCCGTGGCCATAGAATCCAGGGGGGCAGACTAAGGGTGAAGGGGAGATAGTGGTCAGCAGCCCCAGCGCCTCAGAAAGCTTGGCCACCCCTCCCATCCCATAATATAGTGAAGAGAGGCTCCTCAGAAAGGCAAGCTGCATCTTCCCCACACCTGGGACGGCCTGTCCCTTCTTGGAGGGAGGAACTGTGGTCTGGTCCTGTTTTTAACCAAGGAGCTAGGCTGGCCCTGAATTGGGGACAGAACAGTCAGTGCAGGGAGAGAGGGGACCAAAGGGAGGGGAAAGAAGGGGATTGACTCCAAGAGCCCAGCCTCCCTCAGGTAGTACCAACTGGGTCTCTGGGGCCAGGGCGCAGCCTTACTTCTCTGGCATAAGGGTCCTCGGAAGCCAGGTGCGCATTCGCAGCTCCCGTCCTCTGGAGAGCAGGAGCCCCCGTTCTCACAGCTGCAGGAGACAGAGCAGTTGGGACCCCAGCGACCGGGTGGACATGTGCTGTCACAGCGGATGCCTGTGGGCCAGAGGCAGACTGCAGTCAGTGGTAGATGGGTGAGGGTAGAGGAAAGAATGGAGGGGTGGACAATGCAGTATGAAGAGGCAGAGGCAAGCACAGTGCGATTGGGGGTGTGGAGAAGAAGCCCAGCAGGGTACAGCTGGTCATGGAGAGCTTCCAGGAAGAGGTGAAGCCCCAACAGACTTCCAAAAGTCTAGGAAGAATTGACCAGGGAGAGGAAACCAGGCTTGCAAAGAGCAGGACAAAGCACCACACCTTGAGAGAACTTACATAGAACACGAAGTAACTGAACCAGAAAGTTCTAAAGAGGGCATAGCAGGAGATGATGTTGTGAAACTTAAGGGACCAGGTGATGAAGAGCTGCCTCCATCTTTGACACCTTAGCTGGCATCCAGAACAGGTCCAAGAGAAACCAGCTCTGGGCAAGTGAGTGTCTCCGTGGGGGCGCTGGGGCTGGAGCTGAGCTACTTGCCCACCAGTGTCAGCCAGCCATTCCTGGGTTCCAGCCAACCAACCCAGGCAGGGGCTCCGAGAGTGGGTGAGGTCTTTTCATATTCTCTTGACCACAGTCCTCAGTATAGTATATATTTTATATATACATATTACATACAGACATCTAAAAGAAACCATCTATTTTTTTAAATGCTAGTTGTAACCCAACAAATTGATTTAATGACCTTCATTTGACAAATAGCAGCCTATAGGGGAGTAGATAAAATACCTTAATAGGAAAGAAAGCCCTCTGAAGTTTTTTAAAGCTTAGGTAGAGGAAGTCTGTGCTGCAGTGATTTCAGCCTGAAGGCAAAGATGGAATTTTAAATGCCGGAGGCTGGATGCTCAGCTTTGGGGTGGGGTTTCCTCACTGGCGGGAGGCTTTGGCTGACAGCATTATTGGAAGGGCGGCCGCAGGGCCCAGGGACCACCTGGGCTTTGGAAGGTGAACATCAGAGGCTCCAAGAGGAGCAGAATTAGTTTTAAAAGCCTGTCTGCCTTGTTAAAAGGATGGGGACTGTAAGGAAGAGAATGAAAGCAGGAGAAAGACACTCAGACCCAGTGAAGGAGGAGTCAGCCCTCACAGCAGCAGGAGAGCAGAGGGACCAATTTGGAAGCACCTGGAATTGCACAGACCCACCTGGCTGCGGGAAGCAGGGGATGTGCAGGCTTTCCTCACCCTGGGTCCGGTGGTCGGTGGTGCTGTCCCTCTCTGGAATGCCTCAGTTTTGAAACAGTGTGGTGGTGGGGTGGGTTTAGGGAGAAATGCCACTTTTTGAGAAATGGCAGGGGCTAGCCACATTTGCCATATTTTCCCCATCGATGGTGGTTTCTCTCGTGGAGTTTCAAGTGCCTGAGAGGTGAACCTGCTCAGGCAACTGACTTAGCCCTGGGGAAGGGGAAACCACAAAATTGTTCAACGTTTCGGATACAGATCCAAGTTTCCCCTTCTCTAGGTACAGCCATTCCTCCGTATCCATGAGGGATATCCAAATCCAAGGATGCTCAAGTCCTTTATGTAAAATAGCATAGTATTTACATATAAGAAAACATATGAGAGGCCAGCATAGTGGTGCATGCCTGTAATCCCAGTGCCTCAGGAGGCTGAGGCAGGAGGATCACAAGTTCAGAGCCAGCCTCAACAAAAGCAAGGTGCTAAGCAATTTGGTAAAACCTTAACTCTAAATAAAATGCAAAATAGGGCTGGGGATGTGGCTCAGTGGTCAAGTGCTCCTGAGTTTAATCCCGGGTACCCTCCCGCCAAAAATAAAACATACAGAGTGTAAGAAACAGACATCTCAAATACTTTCTAGATTACTTACAATACCTAATATGGTGTAAATGCTGTGTAAAGATTGTACATGTTTGGTACAGATGCAATTTGGTTTTTTAGATATTTTCTGACTGCCGGTGGTTGAAACTTTGGATGCAGATCCCATGGATCCAGAAGGCTGACTACATATGGAAAATTGTAATCTGCCCTAAGGAATTCCTTCGCCTGTGCTTGATGAAAACCCTGACCTACACTGCAGCAGAAGACTTGCCGCCCCTCCGGAGGCTTACTGGGCGGGGGCAGAGTGTGGCTGTCTGATGGGGCCCTGATCCCACCTGTGCTCTCTGCAGCCTGGCCACAGCAGTTGTGTCACACAGATGCTGCTCTTTTCTAAAACCATATATCGATGGTGATCCTCTAAACAATGTTCACAAAAGTGCTACTGGATTCATGACAGCTTGTTGCTCCTGTGTTTTCCAGTCATTGCTGTTAAAGGTATAGCTGCTCCCATGTATGGGATCCTCAGAGTGTTTGTGTTGAGAAAGGGTCCTAGACAGGGACCCACGAGTGTGTGGTGCTGATGCTCAGACTGCAGGTGGCTGCAAGGGCCCGCTGGGCTCCAGGATTTGACAAACATTATATTATGGGCCTGGTTCTAGGGGAGTAGGGTTCCTGTTTGTGGTCCTATGTGTCCTAAGAGCTCTCTGGAGCTTAAAATTGGCATTTCAGTGGGAAGAAGGGTCAAAGGGGCCTCCTGTGGGGAGTGCCCAGTACCAGAAGGGACTTACTGGGCAGCTGGATTGCCCAGACCCACTGGAGGGTCTGGCCTTGTCCTTGTGGCAAGCTCCCAGCTACAGCTTCTAAAGAAGCAGCTTCCTCCCCCATAGTTGAGCAGGGATAATAATCTGTTAGAGATTATTTTCCTCCTTACTCAAGGGAATCACATTATTTTAGTTTTCAGGACCCCCCTTCTCTACCCATCATGGGTAAAGCTGAGGATCCACATGCTATGATCCCTAGATCATGCCACAGGGCCAGCCACTTAGCAGCCCACACCCCTTCAAGGCCCTTAGGGCTCTCTTCCAGGAAATCTTCCTGGATTCTGCCCAGGGATTCAAACTTCTGTTTGATAGAGGCATACAGTTGTCTCTGTTACTTGAAAGTTTGATATACATGAATCCCCTCTCCCTGCCAGCAATCTGAAGATGAGGATGAACGCTTACTGATATCCTGGCCCTGCTCACCGAGGCACTCCTCATGGGCAGGGAGCTGCCTCGATCATCTGGTGCCCAGCACAGTACTTGGTACTCAGGACTGGGGCTGAATTTTGCCACTTATCCTGGGTCGGTGCTGGGAGTGAGGCACTGCCAGGTAAAGTCTTGATAACTGCTTGAGTCAATAACTGCTAGTTGAATGAGTTAAACGCTCTCCCACGGAATGGCATCCTGGGTCTCCCATCTTGTTGGCACCCCTGTCATGAGACCCAGATGTTCCCTCAACTGTAGCTGAAGAGGGCTGCAGCAGACAATCTTTAAAATCTCTTCCATTTCCAGGGGAGAAAACATATATGGCCCCAAGCCAGCTACCCTCAGGTCTGTTTCAGTGCGCATTCAGTGAGTGCCTATTATGGGGAGGGTGGAGTGAACGCCAGTCACTGAGAGCTGTGGCTTATGGAGGAAGAAGGAGACACACCTCAGGGCAGACCAGACCCTGTGCTGAGCGACAAGCCAACGGCTGGGAAGGAAACTCTGACTTTTCTTGGGTTAGGGGTGGGTGGGACAGGCTCCCTGAGTGGGGGGAGGCCCAAGCCTGGACCCGCTCCCCATCCCTTCCTCTCCTTGGCCTCCTTATGCATGACAAACCTCAGGGCATCAATCGCTTCTTTGAAAAGATGTCAGGACCACCTTTGGGGAAATGAGCTTCAGAACAGCAGAGGCCTCGCAGAAAGGTTGTCCATCAAAGACAGAATTTTTAAGCACCAGATGTCATTAAAATCTGATCAGCTCACTTGAAATTAAGGTAATGAAAAATTAAAGTGGATTTCCATTTGGCTCTCGCTCAGAGAGTGACCAGGCTGGAGCCTCCCCATATATTGAGGGGCAGCAGTCAAGAGGGCAGGGGAGCCAGGTGGGGGAGGCTGCAGAGGCCTGTTTGGGGCCCTTGGAAGCTTTCTGGTTGTGGAGAACAGAAGCTGGGCAGCAACCGGAGGTGAATTATTTACATGGGAACTTACACTGCCAGAAGCAACTGGATTTCTTTCTCTTTGCTGCTGCCCACCTTGGGACTGGCTGGTGGGTCCATTCACACATGTGCTGTTACTGAGCACTTCCTGTGCTGTGGCCCACTTTACCGAGCACTTCTTATGTGCCAGGCACTCTTAGCGCTCTGTGACACCAACTCACTTAAACTTCAGATGACCCTGTAGTTAGCTGTGAAGATTATAATTTTCTGCATTTTATGGATGGAGAATTCAGGCCATGAAAGGTTAGGATCCCTCCAAGGTCATGAACCCAGGCAGTCTGGCTCAAGTTCTGTCCTGAATCATCTTATTATCCCCATCTCAGGGAGCAGCAATGCTGGATGTGGTGGGAATGAGCCAAAGCCCATGGTCAAGTTAGGCAGGCCAGTAACAAAACACTCAGCTCAGAGTTCAAGGACAATGTGGCACTGCCACAGAAGGAAAGGGGTAGGTTATCAGAATTGACAAGTGGGGGCTCTTGGGACATGGCCAGGTAGTGCACAGGCCTTGTTCCAGAGGAACCGTTCCAGAGGAAGTAGCCTTTAACTTGAAACCTGGCACACCGAAGGGGTCCTCAGGGCTGGGGATGCAGCTCAGTGGCAGAGCACTCACCCAGCATGCACAGGGTCCGGGTTAAATCAATGAGAAAAGAAAATAGGATCCTATCAAGTAAGGAGAAGGGGAAGGAGTGATCCAGACCGACAGAAAGAAGGTACAAAGGCCAGGCATCAGGATGGTGGTTGGTTCCTGAAGAAGTACCCCTGCGCTCTGGTGACTGGGATCAGTGAGTGACACAGAGGGCCACATCATAGTGCGACGGTAGAATCCTGCATTTTAGGTAGGAGTCATGGGAAGGCATTAAGGCATTGAGAGCTTGCTGTGAACACATCTGAGTTTTGAAAAGCTCATCCTCCATGCACAGCTGGGCAAGAAAGTGTCCTTGTGACCAAGGCATGGAACACGCATGCCAGAGGAGAGCAGGGCTCACAGAACCACTTCCCTCAGGATAGAGGGAAGCAGATGGGTTCACCTTGTGCTTAGGATGGGCTCAGGAATCAGGATTCTGGGGTGGAGCTCCAGAGAGTCCCTTGTCCCCTCTCCACCATATTCTCTACAAATTGAACACCTACACCCAAGTCTGACCATCTGGTTGTGTGTGTGTGTGTGTGTGTGTGTGTGTGTGTGTGTGTGCTAGTGTGTCCCTAGCTTATAGAACAGAACCTGTACATCATGGGTGTCAAGAAGTGTTAGCTCACTTGAACAGAATACCTAACTGGAGCCCAGAGCAGAAAATGGGGATGGTGCACATTCAAGAAACAAGAAGAATGGAATTGGAGGAGAAAAAGAACAGTTAGAGAATATAGGGGGCCAGCTTCTCAGGACCTGGGTAGCGGCAAGGCAGAGGAGTTACCTGTCCATCCAGCCAGGCAGCAGCAGTGGCCTGTGACTGGATCACAGCCATCAGCATGGCTGCAGTCACAGCGTTCACTGCAGTTCAGCCCGAATGTGCCATCCTGTGAGAAGAAGGGGACAAGGAAATAGTCAGTCTTTGACTCCTAGAAATGCACACATTTCTATTGGCTCTGGATGACAGGACAGAGCCATAACCTCACAGGGATACAGACATGGAAACTGGGGCACAGTGGGGGTGCTTTTTGTAATCAGGGCCACAAAGTCACTCCCAAGAATTACTGGTTGCATTAATAGGTGTATGAGGTTTGGAGAGGGGGAGTTGATGGTCCTGCCCCATTTTTCAATGATTAGGCTCAGAAGGTTATAATGGTTATTAACTAAAATTGTAACTGAAAGGGCACTTTGCTAAATGGGACACATTGATCCCATGTGAGAAACAGCTATGATTTATTCTTTGTTCATGAGGAAAATATGGTAACCATTTTAGTAAGAGCCTAATATACCTCATTTCTCTTAATCTTCACAATACTATGAGATGCTTCTATTATATTCCCACTTTAAAGATGGGAAAACACACTCAAGGTAATAGTGTGTGACAAAGGCAGGATTTGAACCCAGGACCTCAAAGCCCACTCTCATTCAATTTCACATCAGTTGGTTTAACAGGCTAAGATCTAGGGATTAAGTGTGGGTAATGACTGTTGGAACCCGAGGAATATAGCTCCCTGTCCTGCTCCTGCTGGGGACGAATCTGCAGCTGCTTTTGAGTTGGGTCAGAGAGCCAGCCCTAGATGCTGCTGACCCAGATGCCACTGGGTAGACAGCAGGTCCGAGGCCCAAGGCAGGACAGTGGCCACGGAGAGCTCAGGCCTGTGACCTGAATTCAGTGTCCTCACCAAGCCCAATGCATTTCTCTGTGCATTCCTGTGGGGAAAGTGGCTGAGGTCCACCCTGGCACTCACGGGGCAGGGCAGCTCGCAGGTGTCCCCCAGCCAGCCCGGGGTGCAGGTGCAGGAGCCGTCGGAGGGGCTGCAGGCTGCCCCATGGGCACAGGCGCAGCTCTCATTGCAGTTCAGGCCCCAGGTCCCGCTGGGACACGGCAGGGTGCAGTCCACACCCTGCCACCCTGTGGGAAGGGAGAGGGACGGTCACTTCGCCCACCCAGCACAGCTTTCTGCCCACCCTGCCAGCTCTGTTATTGCAGCATCCCCCCGACCTTCTGCCCCAGCACAGCTGCTCAGGGAGAGAGTCTCACCACCCCAGGTACCCCTGCCTGGCTGGCCCTGACTGCTTTTGTCACAGGCAGAAGGTAGAAGGTCCCACCGGGGACAGGGACAGGGAACCAGCGCAGGTGGGAAGCGTTTCCCTCCCAGGGTGGAGCTGCAGACTACCCCAAGCCCCCTAGGGGCAGGACAGGCCAACTCCTTGCTCTTTTTGGGGGGTGGGATTGGGGGTGTTCTGGGGACTGGACCCAGGGCGCTTAACCACTGAGCCACATCCCCAGTCCTTTTTATTTTTAACTTTGAGACAGAGTCTTGCTAAGTTGCTTAAGGCCTTGCTAAATTGCTGAGGCTGGCTTTGAACTTGTGATCCTCCTGCCTTAGCCTCCTGAGCTGCTGGGATTACAGGGGAGCGCCACCCTGCCCCTCTCAACTCCTCATTCTGAGGCTGGTCTGCCCTCAGGTTGACTTCTCCCCTTCCCTCCTTTGTCCTGTGGCACAGGGTGGGAGGACTGGTCAGCTGGCTCCCAGTGGGCTGGTCAAGGGCAGTCTGGCCCACAGACTAGGGGGAGGAGCAGGAGAGAAGCCAGCTGGGACCTCTTCCTTATTCTGCCAGGGCTTTGGCAGTGGCCAGGCCCCCTCTGCCTATGTCCCAATTCCTACCAGGTAAGCCTCATGCCCAGGTCTGTCCCTCCAATCCCAGGAGTGGCGCAGCTTCTACAGGTGCTCGGTCATGGCCCACCACTCTGTGTGTTCTTCAAGGACCCTGACACCCTTGAGAAGAACCCCTTTATGACATTCATGCTATTGATGTCCCTGGATGACTGTGAACTGGGCTCTGGCCCTGCATGGGCTTGGGTGGGCCGGAGCAGCCCCTCCTGACCCTCAGTCACCAGCGGGCTGGGGTGAGAGGGTGTTACCTTCCCTGCAGGTACAGGAACCATCAACCGGGGAGCAGGTGCCACCATTGTTACAGCTACAGACGGATGAGCAGTTGGGGCCATAGGTCCCTGCCGCACAGGGAACTGCACACACCTCTCCCTGGAAAGAGAGTGAGTTTTGCTCAGGGGTCTCCCTGTGCTGAGTGGCTGCGGCAGGCAGGGCGATGTGCCACCCTGCAGAGGCCCCGATCCCTGGAACCTGTAAATGTGCTACTTTACAAGGAAAAAAGGACTTTGCAGACGTGACTCAGAACCTTGGGATGGGGACAGCAGCTGGGAGTATTCAGGTGAGCTCATGAGCCTTTAAAGATAGAAGAGGACTGGAGGAGGCAGGGCCGAGAGAGGGCCGGCCAGGGGTCCGCCACAGCCGGCCTTCACTTTGAAGATGGAGGAAGAGGCACAGGGCCAGATGCAGCAGCCTCTAGAAACTACGATCAATCTTTTTACAGCAGCAGGAACCGGGTACCTCGATCCTACAACCACAGGAACGGATTCTGTCAACAACCTGAAAAAGCAGGAACCAGATTCTTCCCCTCAACTCTCCGGAAAGGAGCCGGCCTGCCAAGGCCTTGACCTCAGCCTGAGGAGACCCACAGACTCTGGCCCAAGAACTGTAGGATGAGAAACTTTGTATTGTCTTAAAACACTACATTTGTGGCAATTTGTTACCCCAACAATAAAAAATGAATACAGTGACCCTTAGAGGTTGGGGTGGGGTCCAGCCTCCAGACCAGGGCTCCAGGGTAGGCAAAGGCCCAGGGAGCGTGGCCCCACGAGTCTGTATTAGGTCACATCAGCCCAGGACTTAATCTTCCCAATCTTATTTGATTCTTTCCAACAACACTGTGACACAAATAGTATCCTGTTGCCTTTTGCCTGAACCTCAGAGAAGCCAGGGGTAATGATCATGATTCCGTGTACTAACCGCATTCCTAGTATCATGCACCACGCATATGTCACCTCACTCAGTTCTTTATATGGAGAAGTTGTCTAACTGTCAAGGCCACAGAGCTGGAATGGCTGACCTCCTTCCAACCTGGGAACCACCTTTACTGGGTGACATAAACCGGTTTTCCTGGCAGGCATTCTTGGAGATGGGATTAGTGAGCTCGTGAGAAGAAGCCTTACCTCTGTAAGGGAAGAAGGACTGAGTGGAGAGGCTGACCGGAGGCGATAAAGTCCTCTGCTGACCTTGCAGGAAGACCCCTCAGAGTCGACCTCAGTCCCTTTATAGATGCCTCAGTCCCAGCATCTATAAAAGGGGAAGGTAAGAGAACCCTCGTTCTCATCAGTGATTGGCTGATGTGGTCCTGGCCACAGGGACGGGATTCCCCAGGTGAGATGGATGCCTGTGAGGGCAACTTCTAGAAAGAGCCTCAGCTGGGAGCCCAGCTTTCCAGGTGCTGGGAAGTGAGGTCTGGGTGGGAAGGGCGGATCCGTTGCCCCAGGGACAGTGTGTGCTGTTGGCCCTGAGAAGGGTTCAGGGCGAGTTGCTGGGGAGGGGAGGAGTGCAGGAATGGGGACCTCAAGCCTTGAGGGCTGCAGCATGCTGTGAGGGGCAAAGGCTGTCCAGATGGGAAGAGCGTCAGGGACAAGAGTGCAGCGGACCATGAGACTGGAGCCCTTGAAGGGTGGCTGAAGGGAGGGTTTGTGTGGGGAGGTGTGAAGGAGGTATTTTAAAGGGAGGCTGGGGACCTAGAATGGCAGAAAATGGAGTTTGGCTTTTCTTCCTGGAGTCCCCCAGGACATGCCTTCCCACCTTGGGAAACTGGGGCTGTCTGCTCTAGAGCCTGTTGAATTCTCATTTCCCCTTAGATGGCTCCAGCAGGTTCTCAGGACTCGTTCCTTAGATTATTGTGAAACAGCACATTTTGGCCAGAAGACCAGAGCTTATCTGGGCTCCACTGGCTGTGTGATATTGATTAGGTTACTGCCCGTCTCTGAGCCTCAGTCCCAGCATCTGTAAAATGGCAGCCCTGGAGTAAAGGAGTTCACTCTCAACTCTGAGGGTCCAACACCTGGCTCCACCTTCACTTAGGCCCCAGAGAGACCAGAGGCTATGGACCTTTGGCCAAGGGGACATTCCTGGGCGGCCCTCTCTACTCTGTCTCACAAGCACAGGTGACGTCAGGAGGAGGCACTGGGAGTGACAGGCCTGTACCAGAGGCCCTACCGCCCAACTCTTCTCCCGCCCAGTCTTGGAAGGCTTGACCAGTGGAGTCTGTCAGCTTCCCCATTACCCTGAGAACTCACTTCCCCAAGACTAGAAATGGCCCCAAAGACACACTCGAGCTCTAGGACCTGGGCCTGGGCGTAAATCTCAGGCACGGTGTCCACCTTTCTGTGCGAGGCCCAGCCTCCTGTCTGGTCCTTGACCCTGATCCTCCTGGAGGCCTCCAGTCCCCTGTGGGCCCAGTTAGGGTCTGCGGATGGGGTCAAGAAGCTTGAGCTGCCTGCCACCCACAGCCAAGGAGGCCACACCAGAGGACAGGTGTGCTGTGTCGGGGCACGGCTTCCTCCCAGGGAATCCCTAGGAGGCCACCGGCTGGGAGGCTCTCTGCTTCCAGAACAGAAAGAAGAGACTCAGAGGGGACAGTGACTTACCCAGGGCCCCACAGCCCACTGCAGTGATGTGCAGAGGGAGAAGCGGTTCTGCATTCCAGAGAGGAGCAGGGCCAAGCGAGCAGGTGGCCTCTCCCAACCTGCTGCCATCCTGCGGACACGCACTGGACCTCGCTCCCCACATCTGTGAAGTGGGACTAATGACCCTATGCACCAGACTGTTCAGAGGGTTAAACCAGTTTCTATTTGTGGAGCAGGTAGATCAATGGGTTGGGCAGAAAGCACTGTAAGAACTTATGTGTAGCTGGATGCAGTGGCACATGCCTAAGATCCTTCTGGGAGGCTGAGGCAGGAGGATCTCAAGTTTGAGACCAGTCTAGACAACTAAGGAAGACTCTCAGAACAATAAAAACAGGAAGGGCTGGGGACGCAGCTCAGAGGTAGAGTGCTCCCGGTTACCCGATCCCCAGTACCAGAAGAGAACGAGAGAGCCTCATGTGTCCTGGCATCTCTTATTAAAAGAACACACAAAAGCCTTGGAGGTCTAGGCAGGAGGCAGCTCTGGAGGACTGAGCCATTCCTCCAGCAGCAAAGGTGGGGTCCTGTGCAGGAGGGGAGAAGATGCTCCAGGGGGCAGGAATCGGACTCCAGGGTCAGTTTTCCCACCCATCTCCCCTGGGGGCTGGCTCCCCATTCCTGTCCTCACACATGAGTGGCAACTTTGACACCAAGGCCCGGTTTTGGGGGACGGGACAACTACTCCCCCAGGGGGCACACCTGTGGGTTCCCACAGCACAAAGTCCAAGTGGGGAAACGGATGCGTCCTAAAGCGGAGCCAGATAAAGCCAGCTTCCTGAACTCCCCTCACCCACCCGGGGCCCAGTGTGAGGGCGGGGCGGCTCTAGAGCTGATTAGCAGGGTATCTGGGGCTGACCTTCCAGCAAGCCAATTACAGGCGTCCCTCAGGGTGGCCTGTCAGTCCTGCCCACCCCGGAGCTCCCCCCACCTATCCTCTGCTGTGGCCTCCTTGGCTGTGGGGACTACTAACTGGCCTTAATCCTGATGATCTATGTAAAGTCCGAGTCTGAGAGGCTTATGTCAGGATAAACGTCAAGACTGGCCTTGAATTTGCCATCCTTCTGCCTCAGCCTCCCAAATGTGGGAATTGATGTCCAAGCGTGCTTGGGTGGCCAGCGCACTCAGTGTGTTTCTGTGCTGTCTCCAGCGTGTCTGTTTTTCCATTTGTATAGATTCAGGAACAAATTTGTGCCTCTTCATGCTTTCCCCATCGGTTCTTCCCGGGTACTCTCCCCTGCCCTCGGGCCCTGTCCTGGTGGGAATGAGAAACACCAGCAGCCACCATCCTATTACCCTGGGGGTCCTGTGGCTCATATTCCTGCCTCCATCAGGGGAGATGGATCTGGTTTTCACGCCTAGACTCTGGGCTCCGGACGGACGCTGCTGGTGCATAATGGACCCTCAATAAATGTTTAATTGAAATGAGTAGTGTGTGCGTACACATTGCCTTCTGCCGTGGACAGAACCTGAAGAACCGGCACTTTCCATATGCTTCTCGCTCAGCCAGCCAATTCAGCAAGCCTGTGACAGGCTCCAGGGGCACAAAGGGGCCCTGGGCCCAGACTCCATCCTTGAGCAACATGTTTGGTCACTTGTTTACTCTCTACCCCTCCAATGAGACTAGAAGCTCTGGAAGAACTGGGACCTTATCTGTCGGGGTGGCCCAGCATCCCTAGGTGAGTTCCAGCCGCAGGGTACAGGAATTCCGGAAGTGTGTTGAACAAACGAGCAAGGCCCTGGTAGGCTGGGCTGGTGACTCCTGCTGCACATAGGAAGTACTGTCTGGTCTGAGGATGAGTCCCTTGCTGCCACACTGACTCTGAGTCTCCCTGGCACTCTTGTGAAAAGGGAAAGCCAGGCCAGATCCCCATGTGTGGCTCCATGCCCTGCCCAGCACCCCTGCCAGCTTGCCTAGCCAGGAGGAGGCCGAGAAGCTCATCCGGGATGTTATCCTGTCAGCTTCTAGAGCATCTGCTCACGGAGTCTCTGAGCTGAACAGGACTTGAGGGGTGATGGCACCCACCCAGAGCCACAGGGCAGAGATGGACATAGGAGCCACTGCTCCCAGGGAAGCGGAGCGCAGTGCCTGCCCCAAACCCGCCCTGAGTTCATGTCCGTCGACCTCTTCACACTCTGGGGAAAAGGACCCAGTGAGAGCCAGGGCTGTGAGCTCAGTCAGCGATGAAGGCCTTTGGCACCTCGTGTTCTGCATGGCCCAGACCCTCTTCCCAACCCCCAAGCCAGGCCTGGCCCCTACGGCCCTTCTTTGAGGCTGTTCCCCGAGATCACCGCCATCCAGGATTCCCACACATCTTTCTGGAAGGCAGGCTTCTCTCCTGATGGACACGTGATCGTTCCAGGGAATACACAAGCTTTGCTTTCTATGCCAATCATCTGTGGCATTGAAGTCAACCAATGTCCCCAACTTTTCACTATCCAGGACCCTTTTATAATCCTCTGCCTGCAAAACCTCTCAATTTGAAAGACACTTCTGCCACTCTGTGCCGGTGTCCAAGGCCAGTCCAGATTTGGACAGGTACGATTTGGTCAGTGACCATGACCTAGAGATTCCTATGATGTCACCTATATCCAAGGAGAGCTTCTGATCAGCTCACATTAACCTGGGCTATCATATAGAGATAATTTAATTCTAATTAAGAGCAGAAGAAAATCTTTAGTGTTTACCAGCCTCATTATGGGCAAATGTAGGATTTCTGGCTGGTTTGGGGAATGTTCAAAACTGCTCCTGGCAACCTGCGGCAGCCTTTGCCAGTGTCTGGCTGGGGGCCGCTGGCTGCATCATCTCTAAGGCCCCGTAGCTGTCCCCAGCAGCATCCTCCTGCCTGGAGTGGGGTCTTCGCCTAGGCACGACCCCTCCTGGCCTCTAAGAATGATACCATCTGGGTGGTCACCTACTCTGCTAGTACCCAGCCTGGACCTGGTCACACCTGTCCTGATGGTGTGGAGAGAGCCCATAGTGCCAGAGATGAAAGGACACTGGCAACCACCTGGTCCACTGCCTTGTTTTACAGGTGAGGAGACTGAGGCTGAGGGAGGTAAGTGACTTGCCCAGGAGCACACAGCCAGTGCAAGGAGACATGGATTTGGAACTCGAATCTTCTATCTCCCGCTTCAATTGCAGAAAGCTGATCATAGCACAGAGATGGTGATATTCCGGGTTTGCCTACGCTGACCCTGTTCTTATCGATCAGATATTCATTACCTAAACACAGTCTGTATCTTCAAGGGCCACCCACGGAGGCTCAGAAGCCCTGGCCTTTTCTCAGCACCTGGAAGGTGATGCCTGGGTAATTTTATATCCCCTTGGATCTGGGTTTCATCTTCCTATCCCACACCACTCCTCCCAGGACTGGGAACCACTGCCTCCGCAGGGCACGTCCCTCAGTTTCCACTGGGCACTGCCTGCCAGGCCGGCTCAGCATCTTCCTTTGGTGAATGGGAGATGGATGTGAACGCTTCCTCTCATCCAAAGGCTGTTAATTATAGATGCAGCCTTGGCTATTAACTTGATCTGAAACTTGATCTGAAAGCACCACGGGCAGAATGGAACCCTCCAAGTGGGTCCTGCTCAAGACGTGCAAATCTCTCCTCCACCTTCACCTGGCTCCTGCCCAGCGTAGCCGTGCAGGCCCGAGCCCCCGGGGAAGGAGTTATATGTTCTATTAAATTGGTTTCAAATGTTGTTTGTGGAATTTTCCCCCCCGCAGTGTGCTGCTTTGTAGTTTGGCCCTGTTTGGGAAAATTAATCAACAGCTGAGCTTCTCATGTTGATCGCCCGTTTTCCTTCCGAGCAATGTGCAGGAGGTTAATGAGTATTTCTTGGAGTTGAAGAAGGAGGAGAATGGCAAGTGGTCGACCTTTATGTGCATAAAGGAGGGAGGCCCTTGTGGAAGTTCATCTCCAGGTCCCCTTAGGTAGGCCCTGTGGGCGGGAGGCAGTGTAAACAGTAGAACTGGGTTCTCCCGATCTGGGCCAGGGTGAAGCCGGTGTGCACCCGCCAGCCTATCAGAGCTCAGCAAGGAAGACTTGGGGACAGACCCAAGGAAGGTGCTGTGTCTTGTTTTACGGGGTGAGGCCTGAACCAGGGCCTCATGCATGCTAGGCGTGTGCTGTACCACTGAGCTACGTCCCAGCCCCTCTTGTTTTGGACTTTGAGACAAGGCCTTGCTGAGTTGCCCAAGCTGGCCTTGAACCAGCAATTCTGCCTCAGTCCCCTGAGGAGCTGGGACTACAGGCGTGAGCCACTGCACCTGGTCCTACTGGTCCTTTTGTTGGAGGAATAGAAAGGGCCCTGGGCCAGAGCTCATGGGTTCAAGTGAGGCAAAAGCCCTGACCCACGCTGACCTGGCCTCCAGCACCCATCTCTACAGGCCACCAGCGTCTACCGATGTCTGCGCCAGCCCAGGTCTTGCTAACCACCGCACTAGACTAGGTGACCGAGCTCCCACACTCCTTAACTCTCCCCTCCCCTCCATTGTCACAACAGGTGTCCCTGTTACTCGCTCCTTTGTGGCACTTACCATAATCATAATAAAATAATAATTTTTAAAAAAAATTCAGCTCTGACGAGTGTGAGAACCGCCCGTGGCCCTGGCCCTCCGCCCAGCGCCTCCCACACAGTCCCTGCTCAGTAATCGGTGCTGAATCAACTCAGACCCCAGGAAATACTTTTTAAGCCCTAGTAGGTGTCAGACACTGCCCTGGACCCGGGACCCAGGGTGAGTGGAGCCGAGCTTGTCCCACGGGGCCTGGGACACAGGTACCTCCCTGCTTCTGCTGCCCCTGAACCTCTGATGGCTTCTCTTCCCTGCTCTCTGCAGCTATTCCTGGAGTTGGGGGTCCTCGGTGGGGGCGGCTTTTGGTGTCCAGCGTCACAGCCATGCCAGCAGCACACACAAGCAGTGTGCTCCATTATTCGCAAGCCCTTGCTAGGTGCCTGCTGTGCTCGCCATGCAGAATGCTGGCCCTGGGCCACTCCCCTGCCTCCGCTTCCCCCTCATTCCCAGACAGCAGGGCTCCCAGGGAGGGAGCCTCATTTGTGATTTTCCAGGGAAAAAGGGACACGTGGCCCACAAGGCAAAGAAGAGAACAGCTGGACCGCACACCAGTCACCGAGGCCTCTGCGAGGCACAGCAAACCCCGCTGGACCTCATTAGTGCGTCACGGATAAAGCAGCACCTGACAGCAGATGCGTGTTGCAGAGAAGAAACTGCGCAAGATTCGAGGAGCCAAAAGCCAGGGGGACAGAGGGAGAGAGGGATACAGGTTTCTTGTCATGGCCACCTCCCGTGCCTGCCTCCCTGTGCCAAGCAGGGAGTGCCCAGGGCCTGTGGAGTGGAGTAATTCTGCCTGGTTCCCAGGCAAGGGGAAAAGGAATGAATGTTAGGACCAAAACCACCTGGAACATTCATTCTCACCTTTATTTGTCTATAATGAAGAGGCTGCCAGTGACCCAAGGTTGCTCTGTACAGTTCTGTAGGATGTGCACTGTACAACTCTAGAGGCACCACACACATAAGTCAGTGTAGGTGTGTGCATGCATGTATACATTAGATACTTGATTGTATGTATGTGTATATGTGACATGTGTATAGGTGACATATGGTATATCAATTTTCTGGAAAATATCAGTGGAATATCTCAAGTGGGGTGTGAGTGATGGCCCTGCCGGGTTCACATTGGGGACTAGGTCTGCGAGGGGGGTGCACACTGTAGTATCAGAATCCAGTTCCCCTGGGGTGGGGGCTGTGTGGTGTGGATGCAGATTGGTGGCTGGCAGAGCCAGACTAGCAATAATAATAGGGACAACATCCCGGGTGGGAACCAGACTGTGGGGGACAGAAGGCCCTCCAGAGGCTGATGGGGGGTGTGAACGAGGACCCAGGCGGATGTGGCCACGCCCTGCCTCCCTGGGCCCGGCTCAGGGGACTGAATCTTCCTCCTCAAAACACTGAGTAGAAGAGAGAAAAGTTCTTTTCTTCCAATGTTTCTGGGAGAGGACTCTTACAGGGCTCTTCTTTACATGTACCCCCACCCCCACCCCTCGTTTTCTTATTACCCCACCTTGATATGATTTATTCATGACCTTTTTCAATAACATCTTTCATTTTCCAGACATAATCACATCTTCTGGCAGGAGTCCCTTCCCCTCCTGGGGTAGATAATCACTCTTGCAAATAGTATTACTGCTGCTAATGACTGTGAGGGGAGAGAGCCACGGCTGGGGGACAGCTGGGTAGGGGTGCTGGCATTTGAGGCACAGACCTGGTTTCTTCGCTGCAGACCTGTCGGGTGGAGTCTGCGGGCCCCGGTCCCCTGGGTGCCACACCCTGGGGTGTCCACCAGTCAGTCCTTCTAAGCAACTGTTTGCTCTGGGGCTTCCGGAAGCCCCCGAAGGTAGGAATCGGGCTGGAGCTCCTGCGGACTCCCAGCTAGTCCTGTCCTCAGGACTGACCCCAGCTCCCTGCCAGCTGTCCTTCAGGGAGCCTGGCCTTGGAGGCCTTAGCCCTGGGTCCTTCGTGTCCTTTTAAGTCCTATCATCTGGGACAAGACCACTCTGAACTGCAGTTTTCTCATCTATGAAATACACCACCAGTACCTTCCTGGCTTTCCTGGCAGAGGCGCGGTGAGGACCAGCAGCTCAGGTGTGAGGGACTGAGGGCCCAGCCTCCCTCCTGGAGAAGACAAAGGGTGGGAGGACACGGAAGCCCTGGCTGAGAAATGAGGTTGCTGAGATTGTCCCCTATCCTAGGAAGGGGCCTGAGAAAGTGTCAGTCTGTTATTTAACAATGTGCCCACAGCCCCGTCCTGTGCAGGCATCTTGGTTTGCAGGTAAAAGCACAGGCTCTGGGTTCAAAGAGCCATAGGCTCCACTCCCGTTGGCCACTTACCAACCAGGGAAGGTGACTTTGCCTCTCTGAGCCTCAGTCTCCCCATCAGCCAAGTGGGTCCTAACAGCCTCTGCCTAGGGGTGGTTGTGAGGATTGACCAGGAGCATGGAGGTGGCCTAGGCCGCCCTGCACATCACGCTGGAGATGGGAGCATGGTCACCCCAGGCGGTTGCCGGTGTCCTCTGGACTTGTGGCCCCCACCCCGCCCTCTGGAATCTGAGGGCTCAGACCCAGGCCCTCCCCTCCCGGGGCTGGGAGCAGCAGAAGCCCCACCAATACCCGAGGCTCAGAGGAAAGGGAGCCTGGGTGTGTTTAGAGCGGGGCCTGAGACCTGCCCCAGCACCTTCTTCCGGGCACAGAGGGCTGAAGTGCCCGGCCAGGCCCACAGCCCCAGCAGGGAACCAGGGAGCAGGTGGGACACCAGGAACTCGGCAGCAAGAGTGTGGCCCGAGGTGGCAGGCTGACTTTTCAGAACAGTAGAGTCCGCAATTTTCCCTAACGAAGCCACAAACTACGGGTCCCCAGGGGAAGACTGGACTCAGCCTTAGTGACACAAAGCCCGTCTCCACGACTTTGCTCCGTAGATTAATGGCCCACATGACTTCACCTGCTGCTGCCCTCCTCCAGCACCCCACCACTGTCCCTCCCTGCGCAGGGAGACATCAGTAGGTGTCGGTCCGTCATCAGGAGACTCACGACATGGAGGTAAGGAGGAAAGAGCACTGACCTGGGAGTTGGGACCTCCACCCGCAGCTTTCTGTGGGACTTGAGAAAAGTCACTTTCCCTCTCTGAGCTCAGATTCTTTCTCTGTGCAGGGAGAAGGTGCACTATGAAATGCAGAGCATCCTTCCATCTCTACCCTCAGGAGCCGGTTCCCACCTTTACCTTGTGAGTTCCGCACTGCATCTCATTCAGTGTACCACTGACCTGCAGGACTGGCATTCTTAACCCATTGTACAGAAGGGAAACAGGGACTCGAAGACTCTCGGTACATTGCCTAAGCTCACACAGACAGACAGACAGACCACGTGGGATTCCAACCCAGGCCTCTCTGACCCCAAAGTTCATGCCCTTTTGCTTTATGCTGTTTCTTTTCCACACAGCCACATAATGAATCCTGGCAAACGTTTATTGAGCAACTACTACACGCCGGGCTTTGTTCTAAGCATGTATCTATTTTATCTCATTCAATCTTAACAATCACACTAGAACATAATACCATTCTTTATCTTGTCTTATAGATAAAAAAGCTAGGGTTTGAGATGCCTAAATAACTCCACCACAGCAGGTGACTGCAGAGCTGGGGCTTAAGCACTGGAGTGTGTGTGTGATATTTTTGGATTGTTTCTGCTACTTAGCACTGTCGGTGCTTCTTTGCTCAGGGGGCTGGAGCAGCCAGAAGGTAAATTCCTCATCTCCAGCACAGCATCCAGGAAAATCTTTTACTACTATAATTAGGAAATTAGTCAATAGTGGTGGAGGTGGTGGGGCACAGGAAGCTGATTTTCTGCTCTCAGGGCTAATAGTTTATAGACCTCAGTTTGATGAAGAATGAAACGATTAGAACAGGAAGCACATCACCGTCCCTCACCTGGCGGTCACTTCAGTGTGCATCCTCTCCTGGCTGTGTCTACCCTCGCTCCCCAGCACAAGTTCAGGGGCCACCCAACAGGCAGGCGCTCTCTGTCCTGCTGGGGGAGGCCGGGAGTGGGGCCGTCTGTGAAGGACCCCGGGAGGCTGGGAGGAAATTGAGTCCCTGCCCCGCTGATCTGCAGTTTCATCACTCTGGCCCCCTCCTGCCTTCCTGGCCAAAGCAGCTGAGGTTTGCACATGAGCCACGCAGCGACAGCGCGCAGAAGGGGAGACAAATGCGGAAAGGAGTTTGTTCATTTGGGTGATGGAGTGCTCGCTCCCTTTGCCGGCGCGCAGGGTTCAATAACGGCAGACAGGGCTTCAAAAAATCGCAGCATAAATAGATGAGCCCTTTAAGGTAATAGAAATGCTGTCATCCCCGGGGAGAAATATGTGCCCCCATTCCCCCCGGGAGGGGGACACGGTCCCGCCCCCACCTCCTGAGCTCCTTGTCCCCATTACAGCCAGAGTCGAAGGGGACATGTACAGAGGGACTGCCACTGGGGCTCCATGCGGGAGGACGGCCGGGAGGGGGCCTGGGAGACCAAGTCTTTGCTGCCCTAGCAGTGACCACGCAGGCTGCTCCCTGCAGGCGCCACGGTGGCAGCCATTAGTCCTGGAGCAGCGCAGGAGGCTCCATCAGGATGGCATCTCAGGGAGGCCGTCATCAGGGCAGGGAGGGCTGGCCAGCTGCGGGGCGGGGATGGGGGGAGTTGGACATTCTCCCTGGGAGGAGGAGGCCTCCCTCAGTTCTGGGGCTGCTCTGGGGAACCCCAGAGCCCTCAGCCCCAGCAGGGGGAAGGCTTCGGCTCACTTGGCTTTGCTACCCGCCACCCGAGCAGGGTCCCGGGGCCAGGCCTGGTGGGCCTCCTGAGTGGGACCCCCTTGGTGACAGTATTGATGTGTACAAAATGGCAATAACTAAAACGTGCTGAAGGATGGCTAGTTTGCCAGCTCTATTAAGGGCTTTGCAAGTGCTGGTGAACCGAATCCGCCCAGTGCTTCCGTGGGCTTTAGGGTTATTCCTGTTTCACACGCAACTAAACAGGGGCAGGAGGCCCAGCGCCCGGGTCTGCGTGACCACCACACAGTACTGCCCAAGGCAGGGGTCTGCCATTGTCCAAAGAACGCAGAGGGGGTGCTGGAGGGCGGCCATGGACTTCAGAGGGGCCAACAGGTAGATTCAAGTCCCAATCCTGCGGGAAACGCCATGAATTTCCCTCCCGCACAGAGTTAGCGGGAGACGGGGCCTTGTCCTCAGGGCCATGTGCAGTGAGGAGGCGGGACGGAAGGGATACCTCTGAGGAGAGGAGATTTCGGGAAGGCTTGTGGAAGAGCAGCCTTGGATCTCGGCCTGAAGGTTGAGAAGGATGTGTGAGGGTTCTAGAAGGACCGTGGGAGGGTGTTCTAGGCAGGGCAACAGCCTTGGCAAAGGCAAAGAGGCCCTGATGTAGGTGGGGAAAAGGGAGCCATGTGTAGCTACCACACAGGTTCTGGCAGGACTGAGTCAGACATGAGATTAGGGTGGACTAACTATTTGGTTTAATGTTTTGTTTTGATTTTGGGTACTGGAGATTGAACCCACGGGTGCTCTACCTCTGACTTACATCCTAATCCTTTTCACTTTTTATTTTGAGACAGTCTTGCCAAATTGCTCAGGCCGGCCTCCAACTTGCGATCCTCCTGCCATAGCCTCCTAAGTAGCGGGACTACAGGTGTGTGCCACAGTCCTGACTTGGGCTATTCAGTTTTGAGAGCAAGTTACAAAGGGTTTGCATGTTCTTTGGTGGTGTCTGAGGGGCCATGGTAAGGGTGATGTGACCTGAACCTGCAAGTGGATGGTCGGCTTCACCTGCCCCTCATCCACGATGCAGTGACTCCTCTAGCCATGGTGGGTGGGTGAAAAGAAAGGTCCTCACCTCTTCAGAAAGACTCTGCCAGGACAGAGCTGCAGGTACTTCAGGATTCAGTTGGTCTGAGCTCCCCTCATTGACCCCTCATTCCATCTCCAGTTCACCCTGATGCTCGGCATGGGTTCTGAGGGTGCCAAGGGGCCTTGCATGGTGCTGTCCAAGGTGCTGAAGCAATGTCTCCCCTTTTAAGTATTCCCTTTGGAATGACTGGAACCCCCACCACTGTTTCTGTTGGGCAGAGAATTTCATTCTCATTTTACAGGTGAGAATCAGAAAACCCAAAGGAGGGTACCCAGAGCTATGAACTTGCTTATGACCTTCCAGCCCAAGACTATCCTCCCCACTGGGAAGCCCTAGTGAGATTCACCAGTGGATGCCCCCAAATAATGCCATTGCTGCTGCCGAGCTAACGGGTAAAATGCCCAAGGTCTCTTCCCACCTCCATCCCCATCTCTGTTCCCCAAATGCTGACATATCCACCTCACAGTGCCTCCTGGGACTGACTGATCACTCAGGGTGATGCACAGGTGCTTGGGTGGATCTGCCTGCAACAGCTAGCTCATCCTGACACTGTGTGTGTGTGTGTGTGTGTGTGTGTGTGTGTGTGTGTGCATGCCAGGACTTGGGGAAGCAAGTCCCCTCACCACCCTAAAAACTTAGCATTCCACCAGGGATCTATTATGTTCCAGGCACTAAGCTGTGAGTTTTCTGCATGAAGTTTCCCACTCTCACAGCTAAAGTCTCCTGTAACAGATGAGGATATTCAGGCTGAAGCAAGACAATGACTTGCCAGGAGGCTGAGCAGGGGTGGGAAAGCCAGGATTTGAACACATATTTGTGTGGTTCTACAGTGCCCCTTCCATCAGAGCTCATCAGCTAACAAAAGAGCTTTCGGGGGCTCCCGCCACTACTGGCTTCTTAATCCTAGGTGAGTCACTTATCCTGTTGGAACTTCAGCTCCTCGTTTGAAAATCGAGGAAAGTGCTCGTGTACCGCTGCAGGGCTCCCGGGAGGCATGGAGGAGATGATGCAGGCAGCACGGACTCAGTGAGTGTCGCTGCTGGTGTGGGAAGGATTATTCTCAGAGCACGACTCCTTGGTGGTGGCTGGATGGGTGTCCAATGAGCCTTTGCATACACACCCCGCCCCAGTCCTTAGCAGAATAAATATCCAGTGTTCTGGTGAGAGGGGAGAGGGTGAGGGCCAACGTGCCCAGCATGCCAAGCAGGGCCTGCTTCTGCCCCATGTCCCTGTGCCCTCTGGAGGTGGGGACCACCTGGCTGGAGCAAGCAGGTCACTGAGGTCCCAGGGATGGTTCTGGACTATCTCATCAACACTGTGCCTGGTGGTGTTGAGCCCAAGACCCCTCCCAGCCCTCAGAGAGTTGGCATTCATAAAGCTGCACGACATCCTGGTGGGAGGGGACAGCTGAGGATGTGGCCTCCTATCCATGACCAAGCATGTTGACTACTCACATCTGACAGCAGGCAAGACTGCTTGACTCCTTCTATCTTACAGATAAGGAAACTGAGGCACAAGAAGGTGAAGTGAGGGTGAAGTGAGGCATCCAAGGTCGCCGAGCCTAGGGTGAAGGTCTCTGAACTCCCAGAGACTGGATCTTTTAATTAGCCCATCGCCAATTCCCTATCCTAAAGCCTGTTGGGAAATAGGCAAACCATCCAACAGACAAAGGCACATCTAATTATTACTGACTGCGGGGTAGTTTAAGGGGAGTGTGCTCTGCAGATTGATTGTCCCATCCCCGACTTTGGCCAGAGCTGGCTAATTGCAGAAAGTCACATACTTGGGAAGCTGGGGTGAGGGTGAGAGTAACAGTATCCCCCTTGGAGCCTGGTGCTTGCAGAAATGAGTCACTTGCTGGTTGAGAAGAGTTGACTGTGCTGTAATCACCTTGAGGGGACCCTGCCTAACACCCAACAGGGCCCCCAGAAAAGCCTTTCCAGGTATAATGAGGCTGAGCAGGAGATGAATGGCAATTCACAGGGTCTCACCAGGGCAGCGTGGTTCACCATCTGTCTTCCTCCTGAGCCCCAGGCAGGAAGGACTCCACTGTGAAATGACACCAGCAAGCATCAAGCCCCCCAGAGTTCAAGGACAGGAAGTAATTTGCATCCCAGATGGGAGGCGATGGCCTGGCCTCTAGACTAGTGGAGCTCTGGCTGGAGGCAGTGAGCACAGCAGCCCTTCTCCCCAGGCCCTGATTTTCCCTTCTTCTGAGGAACAGAGATTAAGCAGGGATCTGGGGGTGAAAAGGAGGAACAAGGAGGTGGGGCTCTCAGGATACCCATGATGACGCACATAAGCAGACCGTGACACCCCTCAACGAGTCCCACCTGCTTGGTGCACATGCCTTCTTGCTCTTGCTTTCCCTCATGTCCCCTGGAAGTGGCTATTTTCCCCATTGGGTCCATGGAGTCCACATAGCAGATCACCTTGGACATCCTTTGGTTCAGCTCCCCTGGCCACTCACCATGTACACTCGCCCAAAGTCACAGAACGACCGTAGTAGCCACGCTGGAACTTGGCTAGGGTCGGGACACCCCATTAGCAGTCGAGTGCAGTCAGCTTCAATCTCTTGATCATTTGGTTCTGTGAGATTTTTAATCCCAAGTAATTATTCTCTCCTACCCAAACCCCAAGCCTAGGGTGCTACCATTTTTCCATGGAAGTTATGGACCACCACTCACACCATTTCAGGCCAACTAGAAGGAAACCTCTAGAAGGAACAGACATTTTCCCTTTAAAGACACCAAAGAGTTTGTTTTCACCCAACTTTATCTTTACTGAGGAGGAGTAAAGACAGTGTCATCAAGTAAACAAGCCCCTCTCTGCCATTCTTATGACAGGGCTGTCTTGCAGACAGTGGGTCACCACCCTGGCAGCACACTGGCTTCAGTCAGATCACACCCAGACCAACAGTGCCAGCGCCTCTGGGAGTCCGGCCAGGTATCAGTGCAGCCCCTGACCAAAACCACAGCTGTGCATTCCCTTCCTCCTCAGGGTGGGGACACACCCGCAGCATCAATCAGCTTGTCAAAGCTGCAGAGCCTCAGGCTCCACCCAGACCTGCCACTTCTGAACCTGACATTCAACAAGGCCCATTGCTACAACAGCTCTGGGTGGCCTTTCTCTACACCAGTAAGCAACCGCGAAGGCAGGTGTTCCATTTCACAGGTGAGGAGGCAGAGCCTAAGAGAGGTTAAGCCGCTGGCCTAAGGTCACACCGCCAGTGAGTCAGACTGTTAGGATGTGACGCAGATCTGTTTCCAGAGGCCACACTCTTACACTGCACAAACCACTTCCTATAGCACAATTAAAAAAAAAAAAAAAAGGTCTGGGGGACGTGTGCACGGGGGTCCTTGGCCTCACAGCGAATGCCCCACCTTTGAATAGGATTCTACTTCCAGTGTCAAGTTCCCCAGAATCAAACCTCATAAAGACGAGCATAATTCATGAGGAAACCCAAACAGTAAACAAACACGTGGGGAAAATGTTCACTCTCCCTAGTAATCAGAGAAATGCAAATTAGAGCAACAGTGAGGAACCATTTTCTACCTATCTAATTAGCAAAGATTTTTTTTTTTTAACGTTAGCGAAATTGAAATAGGTATACTCACAGACTACTGGTGACAGTGTAGATTTATATAACCCTGCAGGAAAGTGATATGGCAACATCCATCAGGAGCCATAAATATATTATGCCCACTGACCTGGGAATTCACCCTAAGGAAATAATTCAATAGGCGTGGGGGGAAGTGGTAGGAACCGGCTCACTGCGAGCCGGCTGTGAGCGCTGGAATCAACTTAACATTCAGCAGTAAGGGAATGGCTGAGCAAACTGGGGGTTCACGGGCTCCTGCAGTTCTGCAGCCATTTAAGATGATAATTAAGACGCAGCAACATAGAAGTGTAGGTGACAGAAGGCAGAACACAAAACAGCCTATGTGCGCTGTGGGTATTATGATGTAAAAATGTCACCCTCATGAGGACAAGGACAGGAAGGAACTGGGCACAAAAGAAAGCTAGTGTTTCAGAGCAGAAGGTGATGGAGTGACCTCCTCCGCTGTCGCTTTTACAATGACAAACCCCAGCCCTTGGAGGACAGACTCAGGGGCTCTCCTGTCATGGACTCTCTGAAGGGGACACAAGAGACACTCGTGTCCTTCACCCCTGGGCAAAAGGCCAAACCCCTCTTGCCAGGGGGGAGCTGACCTGGAAGCAGTCAGGGAGGCCATGAGGGGCCATCCTGTCTTACCATGAAGCCTGGGGCACAAGTGCAGCTCCCAGTGACGCTGTGGCAGTCGGCACCGTTCTGACAGGTGCAAGGCAGCTGGCAGCCATCGCCGTAGTAGCCAGCAGGGCAGGACTCATTGCAGTGGTGGCCAGACCAGCCTGGCTGGCAGGTACAGGCTCCAGTGACGGGGTGGCAACTGAGTCAATGAGAGAAGGGGAACAGTCTGTCAGGGTTTAGCCATGTCCCATATTCTGCTCACCCTGAACCTGGTCTGCCCAGCATAGCTGGATTGAAGGACCTGGAAGGTTAAATGGCTCAATGCCTTGTTTGTTTATCAGAAGATACCCAGACCACATTAATGGCCTCATGAGTCCCCAGAAACAGGCTCAGGGTGGTTATGTAATTTGCCTAAAATCACACAGCAAGGATTAGCTTGTAGCAAGATCAGGATTAGAACCCAGACCTTCTGACTCCCAAACATGTACTCTTTATGAAACAAATACACAGAGACCAGAGTCTCTAGTCCCTCGTCATGAAGGCTACGGGGTCCAGAGTTTCACACACACCTCACCCAAGGCAGATCCCTAGTGTGGCCCAAAAAGATGGCAACGACACTCAGGGCCTCCCCAACTTGCAGGTGTTTGATGGATGTCAGATGAATTAAGACCAGACCCGGGGCAGATGTGGCCTTCCCTCGCCGGCAACATCTGCACCACAGAGTCCCCCGAATCTGTGCTTTGCTAAGGCCCTTTCATGGCAGATGGGCTCTTTCTGATCCAACGAGGCCAGAGAAAGGACCATTTGGCTGGAGGCGGGTGCTGCCTGGCATGACCCCAGAGAGGGCAGCGACCTCTGGCAGGCAGTGATCCAGCAGCCAACGTCCATTCCTGGTCAGGGGGATGCTGGATGTGCTGCTCGGAGCTCCTACAGGAGTGCAACACGGACGGCCACAGCTGCTGCGGACGAAATCCCGAGGCCACATTTCCCTCCCACTGCTCCACATCAGGGACACTAAGGTGGGCATCTGCTGGGTGAACTGGCCTTCTCTGGTGCTCACCTCTGGTTTCAAGGCTCCCCCTGGAACCAACTTTTCCTAGAACGGCTGGGAGCTGAGGCTGTTCCACCGGCTTCCTTCCTTTCCTCTCCCCTCCACGGGGGTGGGTCAGAGCTGCATTGCGGTCTGACGGCTCCCTCCCCGTTTTCCTTGCACACAGATGTGTCCCCTAGTAAATCGTTGGCATTTGGCATATGCCTCTGGGACTGCCCAGACTCACACACCAGAAAGGAGCTGGATGGTGGAAACAAGCCTCTACACTCCCCGAGTGTCCCCTGCTCTGGAGTCCAGCTCCAGGGAAACTATCCAGAGAAACGTGCGCTGGGCTGGCAGGAGGGGCCACCAGGCCTCTTTCTGCTAAGTTCCAGGAGGGCAGGGCTTTGTCTTTGGGCTACGGATGGGTTCCCAGGTCCTGGCTCAGAGTCACTGCCCAATTACATATTTGGGAGTGAGCTTTCCCTGAGTTTGATTGTATTCTGTGTCTGTTGACGCGTCTGTCAGGTCTGCCCCACCGGGCGCGGCTCTCTGGGGGGAGTCCTTGTCTGTCTCACTTACCTCTCAGGGCCTGGCAGGGGTCCTGGCACAGGGGAGGCACTTAATGTATATTTGACGAATGAATTAATGAACAAACTAATCATGTGCAGCCCAACCAAGCAGTTTCTCATCTGGGGGCCCTGGTTTTCTCACAGAAAATGAGGGGGTGGACAGAGGCAGACGATTCCTGAATAGTAAGTGCAAGTAGCTAATAATCATTTTGGAAGATGTTTAGTCTCATTAATCATCAAGTCAAAACAACAACTGGATCTCACTTTTTTCTCTACCAAAACAGTAAAGATGTCTTTTTTTTTTTTTTAATGCTGGTAAAAATTTCAAAAATGATTTGAGGTTACGTGTCAGGAGACCTAAAAACGTTCTGACTCTTTGGTCTCGTAATTCCATTTCTAAGAATCTATCCTAAGGAAATAATCAGAGTCATGCAGAAAGATTTATGCACAGAGATGTTCCCTGAAGCATTATTTATAACTGTGGAAAATGGAAGCAATTTGAATAATAATAAATAATATGTGACCAGGCTATTAAAGCACCAGGCACTTTACACACATATTTCTAACCTTCAGCAAGCCTGTGAATTAGGAATTTGAGCCTTTGCACAGAGGGCAGCTGGAGGTTACATGACTTGTCCAAGGTCACACAGCGAATGGGTGAGTGGTAGAGCAGGGTCTATCTGGCCATATTTATCTCCTGCCTCAGGCTGTCTCTGACACCAGGGTGATGGTCAAATGAATTATGAACATCCGCATGAAGGAATGCTAGAGAGGGATCCATTCGTTTTCAAGATATTTAATGACATGATACAGAATTGTTGTGATCTGCATCTGAAATGTCCCCAAGTCTTTTGTATTGAAGGCTTGGTCCCCAAGGCAGCAGCCTTCACAGGAGGGGCTTTTGGAAAATGATTGGATCATGAGGACTGTCACCCCACCAGGGGGTTAAACTATTTGATGGGTTCATTCTTAATTTTAATGGATTATTGGGAAGTGGTGGAAACTGTGAGGTGAGACCTAGTTGGAGGAAGTAGGTCCCTGGGGTGTGCCCTAGAAGGACATTTCTTGTGTGTGGTCTCTTCCTTTCTCTCTTCTCGCTCATCTTCTCTCTCTCTCTGAGGAACTTCCCTTCGCCGTGCTTTTCTGCCATGATGCTCTGCCTCGATCCAGGCCCAAGGCCATGGAGCCAGCAGACCATGGACTGACGCCTCTGAAACCATGAGCCCAAAACAAATCTTTCCTCTTCTAAGTTGTTTCTCTTGGGTTCTTGTCACAGTGACAAAAAGCTGCCCAACACATATGTTAGTGAAATAAATAAACTCCGTAGAAAGTCATGTCTGAAATATGAAAAAATGAGATAGACACAGACATGGATGAAGAATGAACAATTTACGACGAAATTTCGGGCTGACCTCTAGGTTTAGAAATGATGAGTGACTCTTAAGTTTTTTTCTTTAAATGTCTATGTATCCTCTAACTTTCCGAAACGGAGCGTCTTATCAAATTTATAAACAGACGCAAAACAATTAAAAATTGTAAATATGTAACAAAGAAGCATGGGTGTAAGGGATGAGTTCTTGAAACTTTCTGACCTTCACATTCTAGAATCAACACCCCCGTCCCCCTCCGAATATTGATGGGCACAGATGCCATGGGCAGAACCCACTTGGTGTCCCTGACCCTCAGCCCTCTCCTCTCAAAGCCCTTAGGCAGAGTCTTTCTAGGTTTCCACTTTCCAGGGGCCTCTCTGGGATTGAGGCTTAGGGTAGAGGGACCGGCTCAGTCACGGTCATGAGGGCTGACACGCTTGGACCCAGGAACGACCCAGTAAGTCCTGGCTGCAGCCACTGGCCCTCCCCAGTCCTGGAGATTCTAAAAAGGGTCTCAGGCACTTTTCTGCTCTTCTCCTCAGAAGATTCTTCTGCTCTCTCTGCCTCCAGAAGCATCGGGCTGGAATTCCACTTCAGGCTCTCACTGTGGCCAGGGTGCGGGCCCCCCGAAAAACACACCTGCTCACGGTGCAAACCACACGGACTGCGCAGAGCTTGCCTTTCCGCCTTTGATCTCTGCCGCCATCTTTGGCTGCTTGGAGGCTGTCTAGATGCTAATTTTACTCTCCACTCTGGGAAACAGAAGGCCCAAGACCAGATCTGAAATCATCCTTTTCTTTCTGCTCTTCACATCTCTAGGATACTATTTCCAAAAATGAAATATCTGTGTTCTTAATTTCATTATTTGTTTTATCTTATAAAACTCCAAAAATCCTTTTGAAAAGAGCATGGGGAATGGACAGCTGGGGACGGTGGTCACTTGCTCACGCCTTTGTGCCTCCGGAGAGGGACTTGCACGTTCCCTGCTCCCAAGCTTCTCTTCCTCCCACCTTGAGTCCCAGGCCTCTGAGGAGGCTCAGGCGAGACCCACTGTCACTGTGTGCAGGCTGGCTCCAGTCTCTCTGGTTTCCCCTGCTTTTCTCCTGTTTTCCCCAGAAAGAGATTAATCACAGGCTAATGGGAACTGAAAGATGGACAACGCGGGAATCTTCTCAGAGTGGATTTTTCTGCCTTCCTCTTGGCTGCGCTGAGATTTCCATCAAGGCCTCATCTGTTGGCTAAATCAAATCTTTCAGAGGTAATACATGATTGCGGCTTCTGGCATTGGTCTATGACAATCCAATTGTGGAGGGGACACTTAGAGGCCTGATGCTCAGGGTGCTCTTCCTCAAGGTTACTCCTTTATGAAGGAGGGTGGCTTCTTTGTGTGTGCTACAGAGTTGATGGAGTGGGGAAGCGCCCGGCCACTTCTTCCTTCCCAGGGTGTGATGTGACCCTGGGAAGCAGCCTGGGTGGGGGGCGGGAGCACAGAGAGGTTGGGCTGGGTGGGCCGGACTGTGCTTGGCTGGCCTTGGGAGTACTTTGTCTTAAGACCTACAAGCCATAGGGAGCAGGGGGCTTTGTGGTAAGTTGCGCAGAAGTTGGGGGGAAATGAGATGTGGCTTCCAGGGATCTCACCTTCATCTCTTGGGGAGTTGGGTGGCAATTTCACTTTCAAAGACCACTAGAGAGGTTTCCCCCACTAGGCTGATGGAAAGTGATGGACAGGCGGGAAATGGGCCTAGAGGGGAGAAGAGGCGGACATTTGCATAGACAGAGGTTGGTCTGAGGCCAGGACCTCAAGTCCAACACCCACCCCGTAGCGCGACTTAACTGCTTTGAGATTGGGAGTCAGAGAGACGCTCCTTTGCTTTTCTAGAATCCCAAGAGAAGCCTCTGTAATGGGTCAAAGACTCATGGGGAGAGAGGGGCTGAGCTGTGTCCACTCAGAGGGGAAGAGCTTTTCTCTGAGTCCATGAGATCAAAGCCAAGCGCAGCATGAAGGAGTCCAGCTAGAGCAGAGGCTGTCAACCTCAGACGGTCTCACTTCCCACCTGACCTGGGGAGTTGGCAATGACTGGAAGCATTTCTGATGGTCACAACTTGGGCATGGGAAGGGGACACCACTGTTATTCTCTGGGTAGAGACCAGGGATCCTGCCAAACACTTCACAATGCACAGGACAGCCATGCACCAAGGACCATCCAGCCCCAAATGTGAACAGTGACAGGATTGAGAAAGCCTGAGCTAGACAGAACCAAATAACGTTTGGGGGCCCAGCCACTGGGGCAGTGTGCTAGGAGAAAGGGGTGAAATGTTAAAGAGCAAAATTAGGCAGACATCAGGTCCCGTGCAGAACACGTGGAGAGACGAGCTGTTCAACATGAACGCAGTGACGCTTTTTCACAGAAGACCTACTCTGTGTCAGGCGCTGTGCAATACTGACATAGCAGCCACAGAAATGGACAAGCCAGGCCACTTGTGCCCTCAGGGCCCAGGCTGTGACAAAGCTCCCCTTCAGTGAGAACATGAATTCTGAGGAGCACGCCTGGGGTGGCCTGGAAGGCCCCTCAGAGCCCCCACTCCCAGGAATCGCTACTGCCTCCCAGTCCCTGAAACATGACATGCGTTAAAGACAGTAAAGCAAATAATCATTAATATTGGATGGGCTGAGATTAGCGACAGAGAAGAGGGAGTCCTTCCAGATTAATAATGCATGGAGGACTCCTTCAGAGGAGAGATAAATTATGCTGGGCACGGTTGCTCAGGCACGGGAGGAAAACAATAGCTCTTTAATTTGGGGCTTGGCTGGATCTCTGTGACAGAGACTCTCCCTGCACTGGAACTCAGCAGAAGCCTTGCGGAAGCCTTGGAGCCTTCCTTGTCTTCCCAGCGGGGGTGGGTGTCCCCGTGTGGTTCTGACAATTGGAACAGAGGCAGCTGCCCATTCCCTGACCAGCCACATGGGGCCCTGTGTTGAACGCCTGCTCTGCAGACCCAGCCCAGTTGCCACCTCCTCCAGGAAGCCTTCCCAGACCAGGGTAGCAGTCTCTAACTAATGGTAGGTGTGGTTAGGTGAACAGAATTTTCCTTTCTCAGCAGGATAGAATATAGAGCTGTGCCTCTGGTGTTGTCTTGTATTTGAAGAAAAATGGTGAAATGTACTCAGGGTGAGTGAGCACTCAAACCTGTTCCTGAGGGCCCAGCCCTAGAGCACTCAGTGTTTGTTGAATGAATGAATGAGCGAATGAATCCCAGGTCACATACAGGCAGGTTTCTGGCTCCAGCACCTCTCTGGACAGTCTCCTTCCCAATTGTCACCCTTGCTTAGAACCACCTCCGCTGAGCCCTGAGGACCATTTTCATTTAAGCCATGACACACGCTGAGGGGCTTCTGCTTGCAGTGACCAGAGACTCCTAGGTGACCTGTGAAAAACCAAGCTGGCAATGAAGAAGGGCAGAGGCTGAGTCCAGCTGTCCTGGCACCAGGGCTGCAAACTGAGCGTACTTGCTCCCCCAACAGCAGCAGCACCACTGCCCAGAGCAGCCAGGGCCCCGGGGGCTGTCCACAGGCGGAGGGAGAGGGGTGCTCCCTGCATCTGCTCCCACCAGGTGAGAGGCAGCCAGAACCAAGGGCTGGGTCTGGCTGATCAGCAGAGGTGACTCGGGCTGGGGCGTGGTGAGGGAGGGAGGAGCCTTCAGGGGCAGCCTGGTTTCTCTACTTGCCAGGTTCAGGCTCCTTTGGCAGCAGGGGCCAGCTTCTGCTCAGGTGCCCCAAGCTACAAAGGACCGAGAAGCATGGAAGAGCAGGCCCCACGCTGAGGCCTTGATGAAGGGCTGGCTTCTGTCCCTTCTGTTCCTCTACCTTGCCAGGACCTCCTGGGACAATGCTCCCTGGGCCCCAATGGGTCATAGGGATTGTTAAGGTCCCTTCTGGTATCAGCTCTCTGTGGCGCAAGGCCCTGTGGTCACCACGCCCTCTCCCTGCTGCGGTGTGTGGGGTCTTGAGAGCCCCCGTCTGAGGTGCAGGCAGCTGTTTGTGGAAGACAGAAGCGAGTGAGTTCTGGTCCTGACTCTGGCCACGTGGCCCTGGCTTCCCCCCTGGTTATCAAGGCAGTTACAGGAGCTGATGGCTGAGGTCTCCCAGCTCCCACCCACCCTTTCCACCAGAGCCCCCTGCCCCAGCCCAGACCTACCTGATGGTGTTCTCCGGGTCACAGGGGCAGGGCAAAAGGCAGCCTGGGCCGTGCAGACCCTCGGGGCACAGTCGCTCCTGGCAGCGCGGGCCCTTGTAGCCGGGTTCACACTCGCAGGCTCCTGTGCTGGGTGAACACTGGCCCCCGTTGTGGCAGTCACAGCGCTGCGAGCACTGGAAGCCGAAGGTCCCGAAGGGGCACTCCTCTTGGCACCTGTGGAGTAGTAGAGTGGGCTGTGGCTGGGCTCCCTCACCTGCTCTTCCAGATCCTTCCAGAATGTTCCCTTCCCTGCCTCCCCAGCTGATGGCCTCCCTCCTTTCTCCTCCTCCAGGAAGCACTCCATGGTGTAGTTCACCCAGTCAGCTCCCTGCCTCAGGCCCGGTCTCCTTGGCACCCCAGCAATGAGTTTATGCACCCCAGCAATGACAATTATGTTTCACTGAGGCCAAACCTGGTTTTTTTCTACTGGTGGTGAACTCCACATGTTGTGGTTTAAATGTTTGTATCTCCTCCAGAATTCAGGATGGAACTTAGTCCCCAGTGCAACAGTGTTAAAAGGGGCTGCCTTTGAGATATTAGGTCACGAGGCTTCTGCCCTCCTGAATGGATTCATGTGCCCATAAAAGGGCTGGAGGGAACTAGCTAGGTCCCTTTCTTTGTCCTTCCATCCCTTGTAACACATGAGGACACAGCGTCCAAGATGTCATCTTAGAAACAGAGACCAGGCCTTCACCAGCACTTTGATCTTGGCCATCTGGGCCCCCAAATTGTGAGAACTGGAAAACCATGTTTATAAATTACCCAATCTCAGGTATTTTGTCATAGCAGCATGAATGGACTAAGATGATGTTTAGTATAAAACTTATCATCTAACCACTAAAGCCACTCAGTGGCTTTAAATACATTCATACTGTCATGAAACTATTACCACCATTCATCTCCAGAACTCTTCATCTCCACAAGCTAAAACTCAGTACCAATTAACAATAAACCTTATGTTTAAAATATATATCTTAACATGTCTGAAATCAGATAAGTCGTATAACTGATGGCGTGACATAGTTTAATTATAAGTATTTTTCATTCTTAGCAGTGTATAAAATAATGACGCATCTTACAATCAGTGGCATCTTAGGTTTGATGAAATGGGGTAATTTCGTTTCTCTGTGTTCAGTTGGGACAGACTTAAAGTCTCTCTTCTCTGCTGAGCGATGATTCTCCTTCCCCAGGTGGGTCTTCCCCTGAGGAGAAGAGGCACCTCTTTCATCAGACGGGGGCCATTTCCTTCTCCTGGGACTGGACATCTCTTCAAGGCTGGGGCCAGGACTGGGTCTCTCCGTCACCTGTGAGCCCCCATTCCCACCCCAACGAGGAGGACTGGGCCGTTTCGTGTCCTGTGTATGCTCTGGCTGGTGCTTAGAGTGCCCAGCATAATAACAATTATTCTTCACATGACTCACAACCACCAGGTGTGGATCCTCTGTGGATGGACGTGACCCCTCTGCTGACTGAATGTGCGTGCCTCTTGCTACTGCCCAAGACTAGTTCCCAGGGCAGGCAAATTCATTGTCCTAGCAGCTAGACCCTGGCAAGGTAAGGGTAAACCTGGGGATGACTCCTGCATCCCTATGACAAAGGGAAATGACCTCTGGCCTCTGGGGTTTAGATTCTCGGTTCCCCAGTGCTGCTGCAGTGGTGTGGACAGTGGAGAGCCGACCCAAAGGACACCCATGTCCTCGTCATAAAATGGGACACTAACGAAACCTCGTCAGCTTGTTTGGGGATTAAATGAGATAATGTGTGTGATGTTTAGAGAGGAGCCTGGCCCATGCTCAGTGCCCATTACGACATATTAGTCATTATTATTGCTCCCGTTAATACTGTTTCTTAAAACAGAGCCCATCTGGTGTTCTGATTTTGGATCCCGACATGAAAAAACCCAAAGGGAAGAATTCTCATGTTCACAGTGGGGAGAACTTGAGGAATTATGTGTTTAAATGATCATGTTTTCCCATTTCTCGGGTGTTCTATATGTCTTCTACAGTAATCAGGGGGAAAAGCAAAAAAATACTTTTAAAAAATATTTTTTTAAAAATATGGCCCAATCTTCTTTATTTTATCCTTGAGGGTCATGGGTGAAACTACCACAGGCAGGGCAGGGCGAGCCCATGTCCCTGAGAGTTCAGTGGCCCAACATGAGGGTGAGTGGCCACACCCCAGGAGATCTGGGAAGGTCCGTGGTGCCTGGGGACAAGAGCAGCCAGTGTGTCCCAGTGTCTTCTGTCATTGCTGCTCTGTTCCCACAGTGACAGGGACAGGGAGAGTAACTGGCATCTGGCCTTGAGCGCTCCACTCCCAGGAAGGACAGGCAGCAGGGGTGAAGATGGCAATAGCCCCAAACGCCAGAGAGAAAGGGGCTTCCAGCCGCACAGGCTGAACCCCCGTCCCCAACCCCTGACGCCACTGATAATCTTGGAGGTGAGGTGACTGCTCCAAGCTCACGTAGCCTGTGAGTGGCCAAGATGACACTCGGTCATCTTCCTGCATATCCTGCTGCATGTCAACCAATCTGAGGCCCCAGGAAGAGAAAGAGGGCAGAAAAGAAAGAGAAGAAAGGGAAAGAGGGAGGGAGGGAGATGTTTAGAGAAGGAGTGGAGGAGGGAAGGCAGGAAGGAGGATGAGGCAGAAGGAAGGACCCGGACAGTTAGAGACCCGCAGAAGCACCATCTACCTGACTGGCAGGTCCCGGCTCAGCCTCAGGATGGGTCTCTCCAGAAGTCACTGAGCTCAGATGGCTCAAATGTCAGGAGGGAAAACTCACACCAGGAGACACCTGTTCCCCTTCATTGGAACACTCCTGTCCTCTGCCTAGCCGGACTGGACAGAGCCCGGAAATGAAGCTCCTCTGAAGGAGCTCCTGACCATACATTTTGGGGTGACTGATTCCACAGCCCCAAAGAAAAGAATCTAGAAATGAAGTAATGGCAACCTAATCCATTTACATAATCAGCCTCTATTTTTTTCTTCCTCACAGTTTAAACAACTTATTTATTTAGAGATCAAGCAACGATGGCTAATGAATTTTACACAAAGCATGCTAATAACGGGGCCTGTGGAACAGAAGGGTAATCACAGCAGGAATTAGTTTTCTACTTAAACATCCTTCCTTTGCAACATATCAATCTAATGTGTCCAATCCCGCCATTAACAACCAGATACATTGCTCAATTAAATTACAAAATGAGCTGCAAAGCCCTCGTTACGTCTTGTGTTTAATTTGCACTGGATTCAGCCTATCCAGAGAGGCCCGAGTTATTACACCCGCTCTGCGTTAATATGCTCGTGATGATTTGGGGTGGGTTAATGCAGCTGTCACCTACAAAATAAATGGAGGCAATTTTACAAAATATTAAACACCAGGCAGCCTATTTAGTTGGGAAACCCAAATGCTACGTGGCCCTCTGAACTGTCCTGTGGCTGATTGGCAAAGATTGCTGAAGGGTCCCTTGGCTTTGGGGGTTTCTGCCCACCCACGGGTCATGGGCCAGGTTCCAAGAAGAGATTCTGGACTCTCCACTCAGTCCATCTTGGCAGTGGACACTGCGAGCTGATGAGGTGGGGTCTTCGGGGGTAGGGTCTGGCTGACTGGAACCCTGGGCCTGCTTATTTCCAATGACAAAAAGGCTACATTCTTTCTCATGTGGAAGTGGATTGAAGCCAAGGGGTCCTGCTCTGATTTGGGGTCTTCCTGGTTCCTGTCCCCAGCGGCTCATCCTTAGCGTTTCCTTACTTAAGGTAGAAGGTGCCCTCGTCCTGGGTCCCCAGATGCCAAGCCCACACTCTGTGCTGGGAAGTCGTGTAGATGAACAGCAGTTGGCAGAGTCAGATGGGGCTTAAAGGCTTCAGACTGAGCCACAGAGGACCACGGTTAATGGATGGTCCCTCCTCTGGGCATCACTGAGGACTGGGGCCGACTCCAGTGAGAGCTGAGCCTCCATTTCATCCATTAGGCCCTGATGGACGCATTGGTTGACTCTGTTTTGATCCCGCTTCTGGACGTCACCCAGGGAAGGGGCAGAGGGATGGTGAACAAATGTTCTTCTTGCTTTGCTTTGTCTGGGCAGAGCAACAAAACCCAGGGCCAGAAGTGAAACACGGATCTGTGGAGCTGGACAAAGGAGTGGGAGCCTCCTTGTCACTGGCCCTCTCGCTGGGAGAGACCCAGGTTGTGCAAAGTGAGGGGCAGGAGGCCTGGTCTGGGTCCCCTGAGCAAATGCCCTCCTCCAGCTCCAAGCCCACTCCCCACCACATACTCCACTTGCTGCTTCTATTCCTCTGCCCCTGTGCTATCAGCGTGGCCTCTTTCCTCCAAGGTGGCCAGTGTGGACACACAGAAGTTCCTCAGTTTTGTGGATCATCCACTGTGCCAGGCTGGTCTCATTTGAGGACACTGGGGCCCTGGTTCAGTCTGCTCTCGAGGCCATGGGCCTTCAGAGGATGCAAACTGATGTCAGTATCTTTGGAGGGGACTCAAATTTAGGAGTAAAAGTCCACTTCTAGAAGAAACCATGCAAATGATGGGAACTGAATTTGCACTCAGCTTCTCTGAACTGGCTGTGCCATCGTCTCCCTCCGTTAGTGCAGACAGTGGGTAACAGGGCTCTCCTCCTTCCCCCAGACACACCAGAGCAAATTCAGGGACACTGGGCTGGGGAGGGGTTGCACCCTGCTGAGGAGGAAGGTTGAGTGGATGAATCCCTCTGGCAGGAACACTCAGAATGTTTGCTGAGGAAAGAACTGGAAGGTGGGTAGACAGAGCGACGCGGGGTTGGCAAACCTCAGCCATTCCCTGCGAGGCTGCTGTGAATAGGCAAGAGTCGACACCTTACCTGTCACCCATGTATCCAGCGGTGCAGTGGCACTGTCCAGTCACAGGGTCACACTGCCCTCCGTGGTGGCAAGGGCAGTCCTGGCTGCAGTTCTGGCCAAATGTCCCTGGTGGGCAGGGCTGGGCACACACGGCTCCCTGAAACAGAGTCAGAAGACACACATGGTGGCGCTCCAGAGAGGTCATGCTCAGCCACACTCTCCTAGGTAGGAATGGCACATCTGCTGGGCCTCAGAGACTGCCCCATCTCTCCAGTAGAAACAAAGAGATCTGGACACTGTGTCTCCAAAGCCCTCCTCTTACAGATGGAGACACCGAGGCCTGCATGGCCATCTAACCATTTAGCACACATTTATGGCATGTGTGTTGTATAGCAGGTGCTGTGTTAGACACCAGCCATACAGAAAAGGAAACTTGATTTCTGTCCAGAAGCCCAGCATCCACGAAAGACCAAGGCACAGGCAGGGTGAACAGGACTGTTAGAAAGTTTATAAAAGAAGGGACAAGACCCTTGATCTTTGTCCCCACCTCAAATAACCAGGTGATTTCCCAAGCCTTTCAGAGAGGTTGAACACACAGGCTTTGGGCGCAGGGACTCAAGGAAACTGAGGGTGGGGTGTAGTTCTAACTGCAGAATCATCAGACCCCCTGCTGGCTTCCCCTCACTCCCAGAATGACGATTGCCAAACTACACTTCCTGTGGCAGGAGGCTGAGGATCCCTTTTGGGAGACACTGATGAGCTCAGGAGAAACAGCCCACAGATACTGATGTCTGAGGGTCCCAGCGGTCAACCTAGCATCTCCCTTTGCCTTTAGTTGACTTTTCTGAGGTTCACTGTAAAGCATGATCCCAAGGTCAAAGATCACATGATATCTGAAGTAGGTTCTCCTATGAAAGATGAAGACTGAAATAAATAGACAAAAGGAACACAGCGGAATCAGGAACTACGCCAGGAGCAAAGGAAACTTACGGAGAAACCCTCTCTCATGATTAAAGTGAATATCCTCAGGTAGCTAGCTATTAGAAAGTATTCATGAAAGAAGAAGAGCGCTACTAAAGGGGACAGCCAGAGTAAAGAGTTCTTGAGAATAAAAAAAAGAAAATGGCACAAATTTGAAAATTGGAATAGGAAAGCTGGAGATTATTTGCTTGTTTGTTTTTGCAGTGCTGGGATCAAACCCAGGAATTCATGCAAGCTAGTCAGTGCTCTACCCCTGAGCTCCACCCCAGCCCTGCAAGAGAGGTTGAAGAAATCTACAAAATGGAATGAGAGAAAGAGAAAGAGAGAGAGGGCTGAAAATAGTAGAGAAAGCATAATAGAAAGAAAGGAAGGGAGAAAAGAAGGAAGGAAAGAGGGAGACAAGACCCTATCAAGGCATATTATTGTGAGTTTTTATATCTTTATGGGTAAAGAAATGACTCTAAAACTTTTTAGAAAGAGGAAAGCAGTCACATACAAAAATCAAGAAGCAAATTATTAGACTTTTAAACCAGAAACCAGAAGACAACAGGGAATGCCTTAAAAATATGGAGAGGAAAACCTGGGCATGGTGGCATATGCCTATTATCTCAGGAACTTGGAAGGCTGAAGCAGGAGGATCACAAGTTGGAGGCCAGCCTCAACAGTGAGAGCCTATCTCAAAAATAAAACAGGCTGGGGCTGGGGATGTGGCTCAAGCGGTAGCGTGCTCGCCTGGCATGCGTGCGGCCTGGGTTCGATCCTCAAAACCACATACAAACAAAGATGTTGTGCCCACCGAAAACTAAAAAAATATATAAAATAAATAAAAAAGGCTGGGGACATAGATTAGTGGCAGAGTGCCACTGGGTTCAATCCTCAGGACCAAAGAGAGAGCGAGAGAAAGAAAGAGAGAGAGGTGGTGGGGGGCATAATTTAATTTCCATCCTAGAATTCTACATCCAGCTAAACTAACACCCAGGTGGAGGATTCAGTAAACAAATTTTCAGATTTTTAACAACCTCAAAAAATTAACCTTCCATGGATATTTCTTGGATAGGTGCTAGAGGATTTTTTTTTTTTCCTTTTTCAACCTAAAAGAAGAATTATCAAAGAAAAAGAAAGGAATGGGTTCCAATAGGTGAAAGGAGTTCAGGGTGGTGGAGAGAGAAAGTGCTAGATGACAACCACGCAGCAGACCCGGAAAGCAAGAGTTCATCCTGCAGTAGAAGCATGCAGGCTTCTGAGGGCGAGACTTCAAAATCAAAACGAAAGCGGAATGCTGATTGCCCTCTCCATGCCTGACGTTATTGAGAGACGTTTTAAGAGTCTGTCCAGGAGTCGTAGGTCTAAATTACTAACAGTATGTACGTGGGCATATTAACATACACGTTAAACAGGATTGAACCCAAAATTGTAATACAATTCCATCGGGAGGCTGGGAGGAGGGTTGCTCGTGTCGATCTGTGTGCGTGGTGGACCTAAATCTCACTCTATGGCAGGAAGTCAATAGATTCAGCTAAAATCTCAAATGGAAAAGTCGAGAAATGGCAGCAAAGCATGTTAGGTAGAAAAATGGAAGGAAATGCCAGAAGAAACATCTAAAAGGTTTAAAACTGGTTGTCTTCAGGGATTTGTATTTGGGGCAGGGGACCGGTTCCCCTTCTCCCTCCCCTCCACTATCAGCCTCAGGGTATTTCAATTAGATAGATCTATTAGTTCTTTTTCGGATGGACATTGAGAGCCCAGTGCTGTCTCCTGCCACCCTTTCAGCCTCTTATACACCAGAGATAATCATTTCTCTCATGGAGATCAAGGATGATTCTCCAATTAATTAATCAATTAGTTCAACACACAATTATTAAGCACCAATAACTGCCGACCCTGACAAAGCCAGTTTAGTCAGGAGAAGGCTGCCAGACCAGGGTCATCTTTTGAGATGATCCAATTGAGTGGGAAAGAAGTAAGTGGGAGGTCACTTAGCTCAGATCTTCCCCTCCACACACACGGGCCACTGCGGCTCCGGCAGGAGGGACTGCAGGTGGAAGCAATGGTGGGGACTGCAAGGCTGGTGGGTGGGTGGAGTGGGGGGACCTCCTCCTCCTAGAGGTGGGGGGTGGGGCACTGGGTGTGGCAGACCCCTGCTTTCCTCACTGTACCCCAGAGACTCGAGGCACTCATGAGTGACAAGGAATCTTTTTGGTTTTTGTGCAAGTCAGTCCTGGACTGCATAAGGACACCCTAACTCTGAAAAAGCATTTTAAGCCAACTTGGGGTGCTGTGTCTCCCACACCCTCATCCTCAAGCAGTGTGGCCTCATGCATTTACAAGAACGCATGCACACCTATCGATCCCTCCGCCCTGGTGGTTTGGTGCAGAGAAGGTCCCTTCCAGCCTTCCCTGGGGGAAATCAGGCAGCCCTCTGATTTTTTTTTTGGCCAAGTTGGGGAGCTCCTTTTGAGCTCCTGCTCAGAATTCCCAAATACCAGGCATCTGAAGTCCCTGAATCTCTAGGTCCCCCTGGCTTGGGGCTTCTGGGGCCTGAAAGAATTTTATTTCTTGCAGTCTTGCTACCTGGTAGGGTGGAGAGAACACTGGACTTTGCAAAGTCAGACTTGGGCTCAAATCTCAGCTCTGTCTTCTTCCAGATGGTTGAGTGAGGACAAGTCATGGGATCATTCTGAGCCTCAGTTTTCTCATCAATAAAATGGAAGTGGTAACCCCTGGTCTCCCAAGTGGCTGTAAGGATTGAGATTGGAGATGCGAAGAAACTAGGTTCAGCACCTTAATGAGTCTGATCTTAATGAATATTAAGTGGACCAACCTGACAGCTGATGAGGTGGCTCGAGACAGGAGCCCAGAAGAACCTGGGACCTGGAAGAAAACTGTGTGATCCCTCACCAACTGCTGGTCAGAAGAGCAGCCTTTTGGGGAGTGCCAGGGGAGAGGGAAGACAGGAAGGTGTCAGAAAGAGAGGGTTTCTCTCCTGCTGCGAGAGACTGAATTGTGTCCCCTCAAAATTCTAAAGTTCAAGTCTGACCCCCCAGTACATCAGAGGATAGCTATATTCGGAGGTCACCTTACAGTGGTGACCAAGGTAAAATGAGGTCATATGGGTCGTCCTGATCCACTGTGACTCATGTCCTTACAAGAAGAGGAGATTGAGACAGACACACAGAGGGAAGGTCATGTGAAGACACAGGGAGAAGACGGCCATTGCTAAGCTGAGTGAGGCCTCAGAAGATGCCAACCCTGCGGACACCTTGATCTCAGATTCCAGCCCCAGAGCCCCTAGGAGATGAGTTCCTGTGGTTTGAGCCACCTACTTTGTTATGGCAGCCTGAGCAGACTAATGCACCTGCCCTTTGGTTAGGAATGTCTCTGTCGTGAGACCTTTGACTGTGTTGCTGGACAGGAGAAGAGTCAGGAGTTCTGCTCATTTCCAATGATGGCTGCTGTCCTAGGATGTCACAGGAGCCCTCAGTGGACAGTGAACAGTGGTTGGTGTCGGTGCTGTGATCCCGACCATAGGCCCGGCCATGGGCGGCCACAAACCATCCTTCCCAGAACTAAGCATCCTTTATGATCCTGCAACCTCAGTTCCAGAAGCCTCTCTGTGACCCTCAGTGATAACTGAACCCACTTGCCAGGTTCTCAGCCCTGTTTCTCTTCCAGCCTGTGGTTTCCTTCACTTGGGTGTCTGGAGATCTTCGCAGACATGCATGTGGGGTGCATGCCCGCACCCCATCTAGCCTCCACCATCAGATTGGGAACTCCCAAGGGGGTCTGATCACATTCCTTCCTCCCTTCCCACCTGCCTCTGGTGCCCACCCGAACCAAACTACTCATAGTTTCTCTGTTTGGTAAGATCTCAGAGGCAGGGGGGGAGGGGAAATAACTCCTAGGTTTTTTGTAAAGGCCCCTCCAAAGAAGGGCTCATGACAGCTGGGCAACTGGGGTATCCTGTCACATTGTCAGGAGCTGGTGGCCTGGAGGCCAAAGTTCCAGGCGGTTCCAGTTCTGCACAGTGCTTCTATCCCTTTGGGAGCAGCTGTATGCTGGGAGTAAGAAATCATATTCCAGATGGTCTCTGAGTGGGAAAATCTGTGGCTGCAGCCATATGGGGGTCAACAGGAAAGTGAGGCAGTGGAAGATGATAACAGGGGACCCTTCTCCCCAGTGTCTTCTCCTTGGCCCTAACTCTCCCTGGGAGGAGCCTCAGGGCTGCAGCCTCATTATACTATGACTCTGCATGCGAGTGGGGTATTAATAATGCATGCAAATCTGCAAGTTAAATGCTATGTCAAAAATAGAAATGCAATTGTCTACAATAAAATTAAACACATAAAGTCGTCAAATCCAAAGATTTCTATCAACAGAGTTTCCCATCATCTGGAAGAACAAACCTCTCACTGTGTTAGGGAGAGGGGGAAAAATGCCTCTGCCTGGTGGCTTCCCGCCCTCTCTGCCACCACCAGCCTGCAGCAGCCTCTCTCCAGAGGGCTGGATGGGCTCAAGGTCTGCTGTGGCTTATTCTCCTTCATCACCTCCCCATCCCACCTCCCCACCCGCTCCTGGGTCTATAAGGATCCAGCCTGCCCATCAGCAGATCTCTGAGAGGGCCTTTCCAGAGAACTGGAAGGAATGGACAGGGACGCGAGGGCATCAGCTCTTTGTCTTCCCCCCCAAAAGACCAACACAGGCAGCCAGGGCTGGCCCTCAGGAGTCCAGAGACCTGGGTCTATTTCCCTCATAATCAGGGACATGGCCTTGATGTCACTAGCTTCCCTGCCCTTAACTCTATCTTCCAAGAGAGGAAGGTTTGTACAGACCAGTGGTGTTGAAACCTCTTAAAGCTAAGACACCCCCACTTTTTTTTTCCTTTTTGTATAGGGGATTGAACCCAGGATTGCTTTACCACATCCCTAGCCCTTTCTTAATTGTTTATTTTGAGACAGGGTCTGACTAATTTCTTAGAGAGCCTCACTAAATTATTGAGGCTGGCCTCAAACTTGTGATCTTCCTATCTCAGCCTCCTGAGCCACTGGGATTACAGGTGTGCACCACAGTGCCTGGCTAGGACACCCTGTTTTTATGTGAACTCTTATCTAGAACTCAAATACAGAAAACAGATTAAGACAGAGCAATGGGGATAGGGTGGGAGCCAGAGTCCTAATTATTAGCCCTCTGACTTCCATTCTCTTCCTAAGAAACTGTAGCATTGTGTGGAAGAAAGAAAGAAATCCTATGGTTTTGATCAATTATTTCCAAATGCAGACACATGGCTGGCTTCCTCGGAATCATCTGGGAGCTTATTAAAGACAGAGATCCCAGAAGGCTCAGGTGGAGCCAGGGAATCTGTATTTAGCCAATCCCATCCCCTCATGTACTCCAGTGTGCAGCTCAGTTAGGATACTGCTGGACCAGATGCTCCCCAAGGTCCTTTCCTTCTCTAAAACATTCTGCCAAGGCTGTGCCTGCCTCCCTAGGCCTGCAGTTGTTCACCCTGGCTGCTCCTGTGACTTCTGCATTCACACCCTCCTGAAATATCCTGCTTCTGCTCAGCAGCCCTGTTGTCGGGACCCAGGGGAGGGCAGCCAGCTGTACCAATGAGCCCCCCACCAAAATGGGGTATGTTTCTGGGGACAGAGGCAGGATACAGCTTGGGAAATTCAGCCTCAGTGATCTAGCAGCTGCTTTGGAGCCTCAGGGAACAAGGAAGCAACTGATGGGCAGAGCTGGTTGGCTGAAAGGGGGCTTGTGGGTAGCCTTTGGCATCCAGAAATGTAAAGCAGGCAGCCAAAGATGCCTCAGCACTTGCAAAGACTTCAGACGTGCATGGTCTCCTCTGAGGCTCTTGCCAACCATGGCAGCCGTGCAGGGCAGTGTTTACTGTTGTTACATCAGCTCTGCACAGGGGATGCAGACACCAGGGAAACTGAGGCTTTCTCTCAGGGTCAATGTTGGACACGAGACCTGAATTTAGGCCTCTAAGGTTGTAAATCCTATCCCCCTTTCCTGCAATGGTTGTTCTAGACACAAGTCCTGGGTTGGTTGAGACTGCATCAGAAGCACCTGGGATGGTCATTAAAATACAGATTCTGGGGCCCACAGTATCTGATGTGTGAGAACACAGGGGGTAAAGTATTATGAATTCAGGTGAACCATATCCTGCTGTCTCTCCTTCCCTAGCCTCTTCTGCCATTTTTGGTAGCTCATATGAGCACCTATGCCCAAATACAGAGACAATCTTTTTTAAAAAAAAAAACCAAAAAAACATTTTTCTCTATTTTTTTTTTTAGTTGTAGATGGAAACAGTACTATTTATTTATTTATTTATCTTTATGTGGTGTTGAGGATCAAACCCAAACATGTGAGGCAAGCGCTACACCACTGAGCCACAACCTCAGCCCAACAGAGCTAATCTCATGAGAAAAATTTCTCTCTTTTGCCCATGATAAATCACAGCGGGGAGGTTAAGTAACTAGCTTTGGCCACATGGCACTTAGATTGCAGACCTAGGGTTCCAAGCTGTGTCCATGACACCATTGACAGAGTCTAATAATCCTTCTGACCATAAATGGGGGACTACTCAGGGCGGGAGGGGAATCTAACTTTTTAAGATGCATGTGAGAGATGCTTAGACCTTTATAGTGTCCCACCCTGAGCCTGAAAGCCCACCTACCGTCCAACCTGGAGGGCAGGCACACTCGCCAGTGATGTGGTGACAGGTGCCCCCGTTCTGGCAGGGGCAGCGCAGCTCACAGTGAGCTCCATGGCTCCCAGGGGGACACAGCTCCTCGCAGCTGCATGGAGAAATACAGTGTTGGATATAGCAGCATTCAGATCTCTGCCCCAGTGCTACTAGTCCCAATGATCCAGGGCTCCCTGGGAGGCAAGTTACTTAGGAATTAGTGTGTCCACACACTGGGTGTAAATGTATTAGGCTCAGGGTAAACTGAGATGCAGTACTGTTCCCTACCAGTAGGGGAAGCAGGGCTCAGATATAATATTCTGGAATATATTGTACTTGAGCCAGTATTTGAGGGATGACTTAAATGTTCTTAGTATGAAAAAGAGGAGGCTGAGGAAGACTTTCCTAAGAGGAATGAATTTTTCTTGGGGCTTGGCGAAATTAATTTCAAGAGCATGTCAGGCAGAAGGAACAGCCTGAGCAAAGGCACTGCCTTCAAGAATCTGCCTATACTCAGAGAGGAATCTAGGACATGCCTCTTCCAGGCTCTGAAAGGCTCTCTGCCAGGTGTAGGGGAGAATGTACATGGAGTCTCAGCCTTGGATCTTCATCCAATGGCTCTGGCCTCTAGCTCAAAGGGTCCTGGGAGCTGGTCAGGCATTAGGGCAGGGAGAATCTTCAGTCAAGGATGTCTCTGTGGTCAGAATCCTTGGCTGCTCCCTTGGGATCTAGGGCTGTTGGAGAGGTCACAGAACCTTCAAGAGGATTAGGGGGAGAAAGTCAATCACCTGTGAGAAGGCTCAGTAAAGCAATCTTGGAGGTCCTCTGTCTATATGGAGATTCCAGGGAACTGGGGTGAAGGGCTATTTAGGGTCTGACAAGGGAAAGTGGGGAAAGGAAAGGGCACAGTAACCCTCCCAAATCTGCACATGATACAGGCCCAGGGCTCTCAACCCCTCTCTATATCTCAAATGGCCTAGAAGGGTCAGTCAGGCTCCAGGTGAGCAGAGGCATATGATTTCAGGTCAGAAGAGAATTCCAACCTAATGGCTGAAGCCTCTCACCAGGAAGTGCCCTCTGGGAAGTCCGTTCAACATGAGCGCTTTAGGCCACCCAGGCACAGTCTCAGGTGGACCGAGTCACCCCAAGATCTGGATCTGAGACCTGTGTGGGCAAGGTCTGGGCATTTAGACTCTGCGGGACTTGGGTCAGCAGACAGAAGATGTCACAGCCAGGACTGTCCAGACTCATCCTGCCCAGGCGCTGGGAACCTGGAACCACAGTGCAGCTGTGGTGAGGGCGACAACTCCACCCCGCCCCGGCCCCGCCCCGCTCCGCTCCTCGCTCTACTCACTAGACGCCTGTGTAGCCAGGTGCGCAGAGGCATTCCCCTGTGCGAGGGTCGCAGCTGGCCCCGTGGCGGCACTGGCACGGCAGCTGGCAGCCCTTGCCGTGGGTGCCCGGCGCGCAGAGCTCCTCGCAGCGCCACCCGCGGAAGCCGGCGGCACACACGCAGGCGCCAGTGATGGGGTTGCACAGGGCGCCGTTCTGGCACTGGCACCGGTTGCTGCAGTGGGGACCCCAGTGGTCGCTGTCGCAGCCTGCAAGAGAAGGGATGGTCAGGGTTGAAGGTTCCCCGCCGACTTTCCTTAGAAAGGAGGTCAGGAATCGATGCTGATGAGGCCTTCCCGTGTCTGCATCACGAGGGGTGTCCAGGTGCCTCATAACCTTTGGTGCCTCATAACCTCCACCAGTTCTACCACCAAGCCACCCAGAGAATCACACAAGCTGAAAACCGCCGGGACCTTGTTCCCTCAGCACAGCTTCAAAAAGCCTCTCACCGTCTGGCCATTCTCTCCCAACCAAATGAGTGTCCCCAAGCCTCTCTCTCTCCTGTATTGAAATGCTGAAGTGACAAACTGCCTCCCTGTATCTCTGAAACTTTTCTTGGGTGGCTGTCTTTCTCTGTTCCCCTCAGTCACACCTCTTCTTAGCCCATCCACCCCCCCTCTGTTCCGTGACATTATTCCTCCTCTTAGTTGCTCCCCAGTTCAGTCAAGCTCCATTTCACTCTTTCCTGCCCTCTTCTCTCTCTTCCCCACACTCATGGGTTTTCTCATCTCTTGCACCTCACTCTGGGAACATCGCTGCCAACCCCCTGCCCCTCTCCTGGCTCCATCTCCCCATCATCCTTGTATCTCTTTTTCCCTTTCAGTAACCCTACACCCTGGTTGCTTCATCTTCAGTTCAATTTCATGACTTCCCAAGCAGCCAGCTTCAGAGGAGGCAGGAAAAAGAAAGGTTTCCCTGGGAGGTTAGAGAGGGTCTTTAAAACCTTTATATGTAATTAAATGTTTCACAGAGTGATCGCTAAGCCAGCTTTACAGAAATCCACTCTACAACAGTGGAAAGGGGAGGAACGGTGAGCTCCGGGAAGATCACACTGCCTGCTGCCACCTTCCATTCTGACCCTCACCTGGTATGTACAGGACACACAATAGCAAGGTATCTGCACCATAGTTTAATTCCCCTGAATTCTGGAGGGAGGGTGGGGTGTGAGCTGAGGCATGGACAGGCACAAATAATGTTCTAGGAGAAGTTCAGTGGAGAGAAAGTTCGTCCCCAGCTAGGAGATCAGGTGAGGCTTCCTAGGACAGAAAGCATCTCCAGTGGGCTGTCTCATTTGACTGCCTGATAGAGTGACCACCAGTCTTGCTTTCAGTACTAAAAGTCCCACATTCCAGGAGGTACCTTGGTCCTGAGCAAGCTGGAATGGCTCCTTACTCCACTGCTTGAAGACACAGATGAGCAGTTGATCATTGTGTCCCTGATTTCTAGAATTTAGACACTCAGAGAGGAACTAGGCAGTTGAGTAAGATCAGGAAGGTGTCATGGGGTAGGCTCAGTATGGCCAGATACAGTGGCACTCCAGTGTGGGGCATGCGCAAGAGTACAAGGTGAGAGTGGCTGGCGAGAACCTGGGTTCTTTGGGGGCCAGAGAGTTGTTTGAAAGGATCATTCCATCAGCCCCACCAATCTCTTACCTGTCCCTCCCACTAGTTCACTCAGGTCAGATAGTCAAAGTCATGGATCCTGGCCCATTATCCTTTAGAAGACAGAACTCCTAAGTCCCAGAATCCCCAACTTAAAAATTAAAATCCCCAACTTAAAATTCACTTAAAAACATCCCATTCCCCAGCAATGACAGAGAAATGAGGCAGAGCTATAGTGAGACAATTATCTACTCTATATCCCTTCTTCATTCCCGCCCCAAATATTTACACAAACTAAGATGACAAATTATGAGTGATCCACACCCCACACTTCCCACTTGGTGTTACAACAAGGCAAAAATCAAGTCCTTTTATAGTTACAACCTCTACTCAAACTGAAAGAGGCTCACAGGACAGAGTGACAGTAGCAGTCCCACATAGCCCCACCCTGCCCTGTTTTGGGGACACAGACTAGCAGAATTACTGCTGAGGCATTTCTCACTCTCTCTGTTGCCAAACATGTATGCTTGATTCACATAAGCTTAAGGTACCATTGACTCCATTGTAATAATGACAACCACATTTTAAATGCTGTGTGCTGTGTGCCATTCTGAAAGCTTTATGTACGTTAGCAAAATTTGATTTAGATTTTATTATTTCCCCAGTTTACAGATGGGGATATAAAGGGTCAGAGGAGTTAAGTGATTGACCAAGGTTATGGCAAGGGCGGGCCCAGGTCTTGTGGTTCCCGCTCTCTGCTACAGGTAAATGGAACACTTTCTGGAGGATATTCTGAGGAGAGAAACTTATAGGTGGCATTGAGGACAGGATGGCAGCTACAGAGCAAAAGGCCAGGGATACCACAGAGCCTGACCACCTCCTCTCTGCTCAGCACTGTGAACAACCTCAGGATGCAGAACAAGGGATTCTCTTCATTTGTTGGGAACACAGTTATGCCCTAAGATCTTGATTTTGTAGAAAATCACTGGAGTCCAAAGCCCGTTTGTCCTTGATGCATCCCAGCGCACACAGCTACTCTTTGCTTATCAGGTGACCTCCATTCTTTCTGGCCCAGCAAAAACCCAGTAGGAAACAGAACTCCCTCTGATAAGGAAAGCGGAACATCATCACAAAGCCCATGTAGTAACACTTGGGCATCTCGATTCCTCTTCTTTCCCACTCCACATTTCCCAAGCTCCATGAGTGCTGGAAGGGGCCCTGCCTCTTGGAGTTCAGTCTAGCAGGGGCAGGGCTGCTGGAGAAGACCCAGCACTTTGTGGAAGTGCCCTAGCAAAGGCGGCTCAGGGGATTAGAGAAGCACATGCACACACCCGTCTACGCAGCCTGACGCTCTGGTTTCTCACACCATAGACTGGTGCGTGAGCACACGGGTGCTTATGCCCACTTGTGTATGTTTTATGGGGCTCCTAAAATGTGTGGGAAGAGCTCTGTGCACAGTGGGAAACCATGGAAATAAATGGAAAATATGTGGAGACTAAACAAGCAAAGCTACTTGGAACCATTAATAAAAGGGCCAATAGCCCCTCATATCTAAATTGACAGGAAAAGATTACACCCAATTTAGAATATTCTAATTAGGGAAGCAGGGATATATGTAATCCATCCCAGAGAAATTTCTCCCTGGAGTGTAAATGGAAAAGAATGTTAGGGTTCACAGAGATAAACTTCAGTTATCTAGAAAATTCACTTAAAAACATCCCATTCCCCAGCAATGACAGAGAAATGAGGCAGAGCTGCAGCAGGTCAATTGTCTACTCTGCTGAAGGTGAATTAAAAATCATCATCACTATAATTACAACAGGATGTTGCATTCTTCTACAGAAAATCGCAAACTCTTTCCAACTTGGCCTTGGACTGTCACCCCATCAAACAAGTATTTTCTTTTTTTTTTCTCCTGCCACAGACTCTCCTTCTAATTATATTTGGCCCTGGCTGATTTTTTAAGTGGCTATGTCTTCTCTGGGCAGCTATTAAACGCTTAAGGGGCACCCAGAGTGTATGACTAAAGAGTCCCCCCTCCCTGCTGACCACGTCAGACTCTGGGATTCAGCCTTGTGGGCTCCTGGTACCCCATGGTGGGGGGAGTGGCTTCTCAGTGGCTTCTCAGCTGGTGCCTACCATTGATGAGGCGGTTCCCGAGGGCCAGGCCATGAGACAAAGGTAGACAGTGGGTGTTTCTCCCTTATTGTAGCAAGTGATATTATTATTTCCATCTTGCAGACAAGGAAGAGAGGCTCTGAGGGGTTAAATAACTTGTCCAGGTGCCACAGCTGGAGAGTGACTGGGAGTCTGAGCTGCAAATACCTGCTGTCCTGCTGGGTGTGGCCTGGTGTTAATGGGAGAGGGACCTGGGACTCTGGCAGCCAGCCTGGGCTTAATCAGCCCTCCTCAATAATCCATAGAGACAGGACTCTCCATGAATGCCTTATTCAGAAGTGGGTTTGTGTGTGGATGGTTGTCATGGGTCCCAGGTTTTCCACAGGTGACCCTATTTCCCATAATTTGATTTTCTTGAGTTACTTTATTGATTGATTTATTCAGAATTTTCTTACCATATTAAAAGATATGGAACATAAATTTTCCATTTTCATCCTTTTAAGTGTATGACCCCGTGGCATTAATTACACTCACAGCGTGTGTGCCTTAACTTCACCACTTACAAACTTTTCCATTCCCCCAAAAGAAATTCCATCAGCAATTAAGCAATAACTCCCTACTCCAACCCTTTAGCCACCGGGAGAATTTAATTTTCTTTCTAAAAATGTTTGTAGATGGACACCATAGCTTTATTTTGTTTACTTAGTTTTTATGTGGTGCCGGGGATCCAACCCAGTGCTCACGTGTGCTAGCCAAGCGCTCTACCACTGAGCCACAACCCCAGCCCTAGTTTCCTTTCTTGATGTGCATATATGCCTATTCTAGATATTTCATATGAGTGGAATCATATCAGTCTTTTTGTGTCTGGCTTATTCCACTTAGTATAATGTTTTCAAGGCTCATCAATGTTGTGGCATGATCAGAACTTCATTCATTTTAATGACTGAGTGGTATCCATTGTATGTGCGTTTCCCATTCTGTATTACCCATTTATCAGTTGATGAATATTGGGGCGTTTCCCCTTATCGACTATTGTGAATAATGCTGCTATCTATGAACCTTGGTATTTTGTTTTTGTGTTTGAAGTGCTGGAGATTGAATCACAAATACCTTTTTGAGTTCCTGAGGATCATTTATTAAAGGGACACTAGGTATATATTCTCTATGCCTTTATTGACTTTTCTACTTTTATTAGGAAAAATCATTTGGTTGGCAACCATTTTTTTCCCACCACTTTTATATAGGCTTTTTTTTTTTTTTTTTTTTTTTTTGCTACTGGGGATTGAACCCAGGGGCACTTAACCACTGAACCACATCCCCACCCTTTTAAAATATTTTATTTAGCTAAATTGCTAAGTTCCTGAGGCTGGGTTTGAACTTGCAATCCTCCTGCCTCAGCCTCCTGAGTGCTGGGATTACAGGCATCTGCCAATGTGCCTGGCTTGTATAAACTTCTTTACAGAAACTATGTAAGTTTCTGTATAAATTGC